ATAAATTTTCAGTATTTAAAAACTACAAATGTTAAAATTAAAAAAAAAAAAAAAACTGAATACAGAAATTGTGAAATTCATGAAATCCCTAATGGAATGTACTTCCATATGTACTTAAACATCTTGGTAAATTGACATCTACAAATATTTAAACTTGGTGTCGTAGTCGGGAGCCTGATACATCTTGAACGAAACTCAAGACTCTTTCGGATGTTAACATGGACGGATACATGGTACGAAATCTCTTTGCCTGGAGCCGTAATGTATAATGATAGGCGCCCCCAACTATTACACCTAGTTTAAATATTCGTTATGTCGATTTCCCTGTCAATCTACCAATTTTCTTAAGTAGGTATGTAAATTCATTCTCTTTTGGTAGATAGAATTTCCCAACTTCTGTATTTTTTTTTGTGAAAACTTGTTTGGTCTGATTGCTTCTATGGAACTCCATCTTCAAATTATAACATAAATATTTGTATCAATACATTTCCTTACCACTGTTAAGAGTGCTCATGAACGTGTCCAACCTAGATTGGGCCACGGTCCCATGGATGAGGACTATGCAAAGAACTGCTACGATGATCTTCATTGTGGGCAAAGAATGAAGTGACAGATAACTCATTGGCAAGTAATATTTATACCGAATTTGAGAGAAACACCTGTACCAACATTAATACTTGCTATACTCTCCCTTAAATAAATATTATATAAATACAGGTGTGTATAAGTATTGACGTTTCGCACTGTTGACAAACACGGGAATTGCCAAGATTTTATGCCGTCACTTGCAAGTTCTTCTTGATACAAAAGAATATTTATATCACCTCGTCGATACATGTTTTACTTAATACGTAATTCACAACACCAAGAACAAGTTACAAAAAAAAATTTTAATGTTAGTATACTTTTACCAAAAAATCTTGTAGTACCGCAAAATAGATATGAAATAATGAGAGGAAAGAAATATAATTTAGTTAAAGTTGACAGCTGAATGTAAAAAACTTTTTTTTAATTCTGAAGTAGCATTGAATCTTTACGATGGTTGAAAATTTGGACCTAAAAGAGTAACTCCGATGATATTTTAAATGGCACAACCCTTGCTGAACCTACGAATCATTCTATTTAACACTGAAATATATGTGCAAAAACACGACGATCCAATAATTTGGTAGAAAAGTTTACAAAGCGTGTGATAGAGCTTATAAATAAGAATTGTTAATTTTGACAAGTCCCAGGACTTTTTTTATGGAAGGAGAGGAGAAGAAGTTGCATTATTATTAAGATATTTTGTAATTATTTTATGAATGACTGTACGATAACTTAAGAAGTAATTTCTAATTATATCATATTTTTCTAACTGACTCTCAAACCATCTTCTTGTATTATTAAAAAATATCCCATCATAGTTTATTTGATGTAGACTATTAAAACAGGAATCGTTGAAAACTATATATATTCAGCGGTAAGCAGAGGGCCCTAAATGGGGCTATGATCTTAAAAATATCTAACACAAATTTGGAAATAAAATATGTACAACTACAACCCTTGAAGGGTTTTGGATTCAGTACTAATAGGGTGCATAAAAAAAAAAAAAAAGTTTTATCAAATTCAAGATTTCAAAGGACTATAAATATTTTAATATTTAATACATCTAACCTTTAATTCTTTAATCCCGTTCGACTTCCTCAAAAAGCCTCAGTTTAGTTATTTGTGTCAAAGAAGAAACATGACAGTGTCCTGCGACATTCTCGTAATTTTAAGACATTACTGGAAAAATAATTTCACAGCCGCTGAAGCAACTAGTTAAATTATTAAATATGATGGAAAAGTTGTCCTTGACCAGCGTACTGCGCGGCGTTGGTTTGAAAAATTTAGCAGTGGAGATACGACGTTGGGAAGCAAGGAGGGCTCCGGGTGACCATTAATGGATATTCATGAGGTTCTGCAGGAAGCTGTTGAGTCAAATCCGTCCACACATACTCACGAACTTGCCAAGGAGTGTAGTGTGTCGAAAAATACTGTTAGTCGCCATCTACTCTCCATTGGGAAGGTGACAAAGAGCAGTAGACTGGTCTCTCACGAACTTACTCTTCAGAAATCAGCTAAGAGGTTTCAAATTTGTGAAAATTTATTGAAAAACTCTTGCCTGAAAAACTCCTGCCAAATCCACCATATAGACCTCGCACCTTCGGATTACTACTTATTTAGATCCATGGCCCATTTTCTTCAAGGGAAACAATTTGATAATTTTGCTGAAGTTGAATAGCGGCCCAAGAGTTCTTTGACAGCCATCCCAAAGAATGGTATGAACGTGGGATCTAGTTGGGTCAGATAACTAATAATGGTAGATAACAATGGACTATACTTTGAGTATTAATTGTGTTTTAAATTGAGGCTGGTGTTCCACAAGGCAGTGTCTTGGGCCCAGTCCTCTTCATCCTCTTCACCGCTGACATTCCAACCAATCCCGATACCCTTCTAGCAACTTTCGCGGACAATACCGCCATCCTGTCATCCCACCTAGATTCTGAAACAGCATCCTTAAACCTACAAACACACATCTCCCTAATTGAGTAATGGTGCAACAATTGGCGCATTAAGATCAATGAATCCAAATGCAAGCATGTCACCTTTACCCTCCGACGCAGATCCTGTCCACATATCCTTTTCAACTCTGTCCCTCTCTCCGTCTCAGACACAGTTCGGTATCTCGGATTCCTTTTAGACAAAAGACTAACTTGGAACCCACATACTAGACTTAAAAGACAAGAACTTAACCGACGATTTGGCCAGCTATACAGACTACTTAACAGAAAATCCAATCTATCAATAAAAAACAAATTATTAATATACAAGACCATACTCAAACCCATCTGGACCTACGGACTTGAACTGTGGGGGACAACTAAATTTTTGAACATCAAACGTATCCAATCCTTTTAGTCTAAAGTCCTCCGTATGATAGTCAATGCTCCTTATTACGTTACAAAAAAAAACCCTACATCATGACCTTTACATCATTTATATCCTTGACGTTATTCCATCCCGATTCTCAAATTTTTACATGAACCTAATCCACCATCTTAACCCTTTAGCACAATCCTTATCTAGCTCCAGTCATCCCTACAACCCTCCTCGAAGGTTTAAACGGCAGTGGCCTAAATCTCTTGTAAAGACGTCACTGGAGTTCTGGCAATGGCCAGCTTCTCCACTCAAGTCATGAGTGTTTGTGGTTTTAGCGCCCTCTCTCAGTCTCCACCGGACTGGTAATGCCGGCGACGCGGTTGAGAGAGAAGCGCTGGGATCTCTTAGAGTCTCGCTTTGTCCTTCACATGTGGGGGAAAGTGCTGGACTCGGAGATCTCTTGCCTAATTGTAAATATTGTATTTAAGTATGAATGTTTTTCTATTTATTTCTATTACTTATAATTTATTTAATTTTGCTACGAATTTCTGTATTTCGTTTAATTTTAACTCTAAGTTACATTTTCTTGGTTTATTATAGTTTTTGCCTTTGTTATATAGATTTTTATATTTTTTTTATTTATTTATTTTTTTTATTTATTTTTTTATGGTATTGTATATATGGTATGAATGTGCCTCACTCAGCCTTAGTACTCAGTGCCCTTAAGTGTGGCAAAATGTATTATTTCTCAATAAACAGATACAAATTAAAAAAAAAAATTGTGTTTTATATCAAAGAAATAATAATACAAATATTTGGTTGTAAAACGGCCTTTTTTATTTTTTTATACGCCCTACTATTTCAACGATCATGCAAGGAGGTGATTTGACTGATATCATTCTCAACCACCAGGTTTTTCCCCTCAATTAATTACTTAATTAAAGGTACCCACTTTAAAGAGGTTGGTTGTTCTCCAGTAGAGGACTGCGCTGAGACCTATTATTTTCCTGTTTCTCATCTTTCCTCCTTTTTATTCAGAAACATTTTAAAAAGTTGCAATTCGGCTAAAGTCCCTCTCATATCCAGAGCGAAATGGGATGAGCCTAAAATCTTCTTCCATTCGTAAACCAAATCCCTGTAAAACAGTTAGGTCTCCCTGGACATTTTCTGAGAGTAGAGGAGCTGGGACAGGATATACAACCTAAGCCCTAGGAGTCCGACTCATAGGAAGAGCAATCGACAAACTGTTCACCTGTACAGGACGTTGCAGATGAAACATAGGGTATTAATTTCTTTTCCGTATTCAGCGAGCTTTGCTGCAAAGCTCTCATGATCCTCGATGATGTTAGGGACCCAGTAATTCGGGAGGAATCTGCTTGAATCCAAGCATAGTAAGTCAACTACGAGATAATTCGAAAAAAAAAAAAAGAATATTATATAAATTTTCTATGCATATGCTTTTTGACTATTATTATCAACTAAAATACTTATTAATAATAGAATATAATTAATTTAAATTGCTTTTTTACATTTGAATCCTATACTAATGTAGCATATCCGGGTTATAGTCGACATAGCTTTCGAAAAATCAACATTACGGATCAATATTAAACAAATTAAAAACGTATAGTAAACAAATCAAAAAAACATCAATCTATAGTTCAAATAGATCCATCAGAGGCGAATTTAACTAATTCTGAACCCATTATATCAATTTACCTATCTAAATACTTTTGTTAAAAATATGTCACAGGAAGCTACAGGTTTGTGTTCAGAAATTCGATCTGAAAATGAGTTAAAAATTAATTTTATGAAATTCCTTTATGTGTACATAAATTCGTTTCAAATTATAATTATTTTATAATAGAAGATTATGGTGAACGCCAATATCGTCTGTTATAATATGTGAAACAAAAATATTATTGAGAGATCTCACTTAATTATCATATAATACATGTAATGTTATCTAAACTTTAGTATAATGTAAATTTAGAACTTAAAATATAAAACTTTATAGGGCAGACTGAGTTTAGCCTATTATCAGTCGTGGTCTACAGTTTGCTATTTTAAATGTAATATTTCATATGTACTAATTTAATTTCTAAACAACAAAAGCATTTATCTTGTCTCAAATCTCGACATTCTAACACTGGTAAGAATATGTTAGTAGCTTGTAACATGATCGGTCATTCGTGTCCTACTTGGAGTAAAATCCTATACGGCCTTAACGAAATAACAATAAGAAAGGAGGTAACATTATTGTAGTATGAGAGTTGATAAATACTTTTGGGAAATAATCTGGAGTGCTAGGGTGGAGAAGGGCCGCTTTTCCTCCTATCAAAAGCATATATTATCAAAAAGTGCATAATAATTGGATGCGATTATTCACAAATTTGTCAAATATATGTTTCCATGAAGTTTTGAGATTAAAATTTGCTATATATCATAAAGAAGAAAATCATTAGTGACGAGTTTTTTTGTTGTTTTTTTTCATATTTTAAAGTTCGGAGAATTGAGTCAGAGGATGTTAGAACTTATATTATATGAGTTATAAGAACTTATATAACTTGTATGATAATAAAAATATAACTGAGGGGTATTCTACCAATTCACTGCTACCTTCTGGTTCTGTATTTTTTTCAAGTTATACCTCTAAAATATGATAATTATTGAACACTCGTTTATGAACTAACATTTGCTGCTGCAGGAGGTAATTTTGAATTTGTTGATGTTTTTACGGATTACATTATGGAAGAAGTGAGAAAATTACTTGATGAAAGTAGTAGAAGATTACAGGATATTTCAGATTTAATATTAGAAAATTTAACAGGTTAGTCTATCAGAATTTATTTTCAATAAATGATTTTAATACTTGTAAACCTTTACTACCTTTCTTATCTTTAGATGAAACAGCAACTGCAGAAATTTCCAAATTATATGGCATTGCCAATGATATGGATATTATTAATAATCAAACTAAAATACAGCAATCTGCTTTAAATAACTGCAAATTTACTTTGTCTCAGGTAGAAGAGCCATGGAATTGCAATATTCAGCAGGTATAATGATCAATTTACTCAATATTTTATAAAAATATGATCAATTTACTCAATATTTTATAAAAATATACTCTGTTTCCTTTTTAATCATGATTAGAAGTTTAGATCTTTTCATTATCAAACCTAATTAATTTAAATGGTGTTATTAACATCATTGAGAACAATTACTAAGTGTTTGTGTTTATGGATAATTATCTGTAGTTAAAAGTTGTCGTTATACTGTAAAAAAGACAAATTTAACAATCCAATACTTTTATGGAGAGCATATTTGATAAGACAATTAAGAAAGTAATGTTTTAGCCACTGTTTCATCCTGGGATGTTTAAATATTGAAGAAATCTAAAAAAGAAAAAATCTTTTTAAAAACTCAATTTGTTGAATTCTCTCTTATTTACATAACATTGACAAAATGTCAAATTTTTTTTACAAAATATTTTAGTTCATTTCAATAATCATTCAATATACTTATTAATGTATATGTTTAATTTCTTCTGCAGTCATCATTTGTCTGTTCAAAAAATTTAAAGAAAAAAAAAATGTGCATTATTCATGTGCTGGATCCTATTATTTCCTTTAAATGACTGATTTCTTTTTTAAAGTATTTTAAAATATTTTTCATTTAACTTGTTCGTCTTTCGACCATTCCGAAAATTATCGTTTTTTTAGGCATAGAGTATGAAACTTTTAAATGATTAGGACAAAGTCAATTTAAATAACCAGCTTGTAATAATGAAAACTGCATACCATAGAAAAAAATTTTAAATAGGATAGAAAAAATACAAATGTTAATAACATGCATGAATCAAAGGAAAACCATTAATAAGGTAAATAAAAAATTAATTGTAAATACATTTAACCAAATATGTGTAAATATAGAAAAAAAAAATTGTAACAATTATTAATAACATGTGATGGTCTAATTCTGAATAGATCTCTGTAAATGGATATAGATTCCGAAACATTGGACAGAATAAATAGACATATATACGGAAGAGAAAAATTTCATGCTTTATATCTAAAATAACACAATACTCTTCCTTAAATAACTTATAAACATTAAATAATAAAAGAGGATAGTTTTTTTTAATTAATTGGTTGATCATTACTATTATATGTAGTTTTAAAACAATAATTTTTATGTTGGAAAATAAGGCATTCATAGTACATCTTTAAGCAAATACAGAACATTTTTTCTCTACCTCTAGAGTTGTACTTTATTCGCATAATTTCTTGTCCTGAACAAGAAATATGTAAATGGATTTTATCGCTACTAGGATTGCGGTGTCACCACTACCTTCTTAAGTGGTTGAGCTTTAATAAGCAAATTTTAGGCCTTGAAAATTGACAACATGAATTATTATTGAGTAACTATTTTCTGTTCTTGAAAATATGTTTGCACCAAATGTATTATTTATAATTAAAACTCCTTTTTTTGTAATATTTAAATTTCTCTTAATATAGATATTTGAAGAAAACCTTGAAAAAGATAATAATAAAAAGAAGAATAAAAATAAGGATGAATTCCATAGCATCCTGCAGAAGTATGTGAACAAGAAAAAAAATCAAGGTAATGTTATCAATCTTTTATTCTCAGGCATAAAATGAAACCAGAGAGGAATTAAATAAATTTTATTTCCCTGAAAAATATTCCCCTTACCACGTTAACATTAAAGAGTATATATTGCCTTGACAAACAAACTGAACCTTATCAATTTATTAGTGCCATAGTCTCCCAACAAATCCTTGCCTCTCATAATATTTTCCTCCGATCTCAATATAATAAATAAACATTCATATGTGTCTATTCTTGATCCTCTAAGTGTTTAATTCAGATAAATCAGATGATCTGCTAGCCCTAAGGTCTCCAAACTTTTTTGTCTGCAGGTTACATTAAGACCTCCACTAAGTATCGCGGGCTACGACTTGTGATGGAATAAACAAACTTGTTCGATAAATGGCACTGTTTTGGCAAGTTGTGAAATGAGCTTTCTAAAAGAAACAGTGCATGTAATAAATGTTGTAGTTACCTCATATTCAAGTGATATACTGAATTTCATATTTTTAAAATAGTTTTAATATTTTACCACGTATTGAAAAAACTTTCGCTGGCCGTAGTTTGGAGACCCCTGCGCTAACCCATCTGAATGGTAAATTTCGTCACATGCCCTGAAATTCTATTATAATTGCTTTTGTCGATCACATAAGAAGCATGCGCATCCTACTTCATTTTATCAACATCCTGCTCGGAGCTTCATGTGTGATTTCATCATTTTTATCTAACCTTCAAGATAGTGCCGTCCTTAGGGTGGAGCAATTTCCCTGGGGCACCGACCTGGAGGGACACATTTTGGGGACGCTCACTACTTGTTAGAAATAAAAAAAAAAAATACAAAACATAAAAATATTCAAATTAAGCCTATGAATAAAGCAACTGTATCGGAGAAACATTGAATATAAAATTCTAATACTACATAATATAAAATAGCTTAAGAAATAAATTAAAATTTTTTAGGGGGGAGAGATTACGTCATTGTCCAGGGGTGCTAAATGACTAAGGCCTTCAATACTCTATATATTACATGATTTTTTTTAAGACGTATCTATAAGGTTTAGATATTACCAGTTAGTTAGTTTCTAGGTGTTAAATTATAACAAATAATAAATGTTTATAAGTAGTTGATTAATACTATTATTATTAAACTTCCTGAGCATTAAATCTTATTTATTTTCATTGTTAAACTTTTTAATTTTTTTGTTTACAAGTCTTTATTACTAACTCTTTAATTTCAGAAATTATATTTTTTGTTATTAATTGTGAGCTATTATTGGTATACAGATGAATTAGATGTTGTTGAAGAGGCACATACGGCTATTGATCCGTGGACCAAGCAGCCAATCCTTCAACCAGTACAGTCAAGGGAATGTAAGCACATTTATGATAAAAGGAGTATAGCATGCATCATCAGGAATCGTAACCATTTCAAGTGAGTATATTTCTGCCCCTCTCTTTCAAAAACAGTGCACTTCTTACCTGATATATATCATTTGTTGTCAAAAAACCTTGTTGGCAAGGACCTGATCATATAGACCAAGAATCCACCACTTTGTGTCTTGAGCTACAGAAAGTCAACTACTTTGATTGCTATAACCCCTCTTTTTCACATTATCAAACATAGTTTAAATAGTTATAGCATTACATAACAGTCAACTTGTGATGCTTACTTTCATGATAAATAAACCACATGATTCCTTGAAATATGCTTTGGATCCTTACTAGGTAAAAGTTCTTATCATTGTAGGGCGGAAAGATAATGTACAAGTAAAAGTGCTTGATTTTTTATAATTAGGTACCTGTTTAGATTTAGAGTAAACCATTATGACCTATTTGGTTATCAATTTTGTGTTTTAAATTCTTATTTTCGATGAATTTGAATTATATCATACAATACAAAATAGATAATAATATTAATGATTAAATTACAATTTTCTATTTAATTTTTCTACACTTTATAAATTTTAAATTGTTTTTCTGTTTCAGATGTCCTTATGTTGGTTGCCAAAATATTGTTACTAAAGAAGACTTAGTTGATTTAGATTAATACTTAAAGAATACTGAGTTTTTCACTCATGTTAATTAATATTCTATAGATATTTATTTATCTGTACACCAGATAACGAAGTTATATATTAAAGACTTTAAAAATAATGTATTATAAAAGATAAAGAGAGAGGAGTAAAGAGAAGCAAGAATATTGTTTTTATTTATAAAATTAAAGAAAATGTTAATGAAATGTTTTTTTTATTTAATTATGTTATCCTTCTAAAAATAATGGAAATTAATAAACTTTTTCCTCTACAATCGATGAAAAGTCTTGGAACCTTAAGAACTTCTAAATTAAGGTGTCTACAAACTAGGCTATTTGTGTCGGTCATTAAATATCCTGGTGCCTCTGTGTGCAGGGGTATTACTGCTTCAACAGGCACTAAAATCAAACCTATATGTTTTTAGTGACCACCAAGAAACCACTATTAAATATCAATTGGAAATCATTCTACACTTAGCAAAACGTAAATTTGTTATTTACATTAAAACGTTTCAGAGATGTTTGGGTAATATTTACTATGGTTTAAGCAAAATTTGGCCCAAGTTTTGCAGATTTAAATTTTCAAGGATGTTGAAAGGAATCAGCTACAGAATATGGTGAAAACTGTTGCTTTGGACTCACTAGGAATTCTGGATCACTACGTGTATTAATTCTGGTCAATTTGTTATGAATTTTCGGGACAGAAAGGAAGTGGAGAAAAAGAAAATCATAACATTAGGTATTTAGGATAATTATTATCATCAATCTAGCTCAACAACTCGCAAGCAAGTCTTGACTTCCTTCAACAGAAATTGTCATGTGTCCCTATTCTATGCTGCTACCATCAATTTCCTACTCCAATGAACCTCAAGTCACCTACGACACAGTCCGACCACTGCAGCCTGAGTCTCCCAACTCTGCACCTGCCAAATATTTGTTCTGTTGATATTTTCTTCAGGGATGACTGGTCTGGCATCCTTGCAAGGTGTTCTGCCCACCTTAATCTTCCAGGCTTGATAATTCCCACTACATCAGGCTCGTTATAGAAATTATAGATTTCTCCATTGTCCGCTTTCACAATTAGACCCATTAATTTGGTGAAGAATTTTAAATGTAAGTAGGACTCTTTATCATTTGCCTTGGAAATGGTCCAAGACTCAGAACCATAAGTCAAAACAGGGCGGATGAGAGTATTGTGGAGAATGACCTTGGTGCCCTGCGAGACAAGTCTGAAGGATAGATGTGAGAGGAATCCATAATAACATTTAGGATAAAGGATAATTAGTATTTAGGATAATAGTCCCGTTAAAGTTTTATCTTTTTTGTGTTGTTTTCTTAAATATTATCAATAAGACTGATCAGTATGCTGAGCTATTCAATGACTCAACACAGTGAAGCACAGCCTTGCAATTTTATCGTACATCTCTCTTGAACTGTCTTTGCCCATTTATTAATTGTATTATTATACAATTTTCTTCAATGCTTAGAGGCTTCTTTTCCCATCTTCAATATTTTCCAAATACTTTTTAATTTATCATATTTTTCATTCTTAAAATCTTTTAGAATTTTGCATATATTATGTATAAATAAATATATTTTCAGTTTTAACAGGCAAGTGCTAAAATTTCAATAATTATGAAAATCAGATGTCTCGTTTATACATAGTATTTTAACTTATATTTATGTATAATATATCTGAAATTACAGATGACTTTCAAGTATGAATTGAGCCTTCCTGTTGACAGAATGGCTAACTCCAATTTCAACATTTTTTATTATTAATTTAGTAATATTTCTAGTGGGAACATTTATACCTTTATCCACAGTTCTATATTTCAACCACCTACTCTTGAATCAACTTACTGTTTGTACTGTACTGTACATATATGTTTAAATTTTTCATCTAGAAATATCACTAAAATGACTTTTCTCAAAAATGTTGAAATTGGAGTAGGTCATTCTGTCAACTGAAAGGCTCGATTATTAGCTCATACTTCAGTAAAGAATGTACAATTACAATTACTGCCTCATTGAAAGATGCCATAAAAGCCGGGGCCAAAGATTCATAAACTTTTTAAAATAAATTTGATTTTAAAAGTATTCAAAAAAGATATAAGATTTTTAAAAAAATTCCTGCAATGACAGTTATTCTTGTACCTTTATGACAAAAATTTTTCTTTAAAAAGTCCACTGTTCACCCAAATTTTTTGAACTACTAAAAAAAAAGTGTGACTTTAACTGCAACATTTTGCTTTTGGTTGGAATTATAAAAGTTGTTATATTAGGAAATGAATGAGTGAATGTTTGTGTATATCTTGATGAATTTGGTATGATGATGACAGCAATGAATTTTCAATTTTGGCATTTCTAAAATTACTTTTTTTTGTATCATTGTATTAAATATATATCTCAATTTCTTTTTTTTCTTTTTTTTTTTTCCTAATAGCATTTTATGATTTAGTTTCAAAATCATTGTTTGTGGTGAACTTTTATTTAAAAAGTTATCGTAATGAAAAAGTTCAAGTTCAATAAAAACTTCATTAAAGATAAAAAAAAAAAGGTTAAGTTTAACTTCAACCTTTTAAAATTAACTTAGCAAGTTAACTCATATTTTAAAAGTTACCTCATATTTTCGACCCCTGCTTAAAAGTTTCTTTGCACTCTTCCTTCCCCGTGCTCTTACACCTCATCAGAAACTATCATGCTTTGTGCAAAGAGGTGGACTCAAGTATTCTTGCGATTTTCTTTTGAGTTCATCCTTTTCAATATACTAAATTATGTATATTAAATGATTAAATTATGTATATATACTAAATTATGTATATATATATATATATATATATATATATATATATATATATATATATATATATATATATATATATATATATATATATTAACAATATTAAATGTTGTTTTGTTTAAAAAATAAAATATAAATTAACAAAAAAAAAAAGGCTATCTTCATCTATTCCCCTCTTAACTTTCCGAGAACCATAATCTCTCTTGCAGTATTTCTCTCTATATACGGAAAACAAAGAAGCTTCATGTACAGCCTGTTAAAGTATTTTTGCAGAAATTATTGAAAGATCGACATTACGATCAAAGAAAAAGTTAGCAAAACATTTTTTAATAAATGATTGTTTTTATCTGTAAACATAAATTATGTTAAAAAAAAAAACAACTAAATCTATAACACTGCTGAACAATATTAATAAAAAAAATTCTCTTAAATTTTTATTTCATACTTAAGATAAAGATGAAATGTTTTGGTTATTATTTAGGTTTTCAGTGTATTAATTCAGAGATTAAAAAATTGTTGATTTGGAAAATTAAAAATAAACAAATAATAGGAATAATGAAATGTGTTCTGTATTAAAAACAATTTAAACAAATATTCAAGATCACCTATATTGTCGGTGATCGGTCAATATACTATACACAAAAACAAAATAAGGTTTTTATTTTTTTTTTAAATATATTGGTTGATATTATTTTATTTTTTTATTAAAATCTTTATGAAGCAGAATAATTAACCATCCATTTCTATTAATTAAAAAAAATCAAATTTATTTGTATATAATTTTATCTTTAATAATGGTAAAGAAAGATAAAATTTTTAGTGCATTAAACAATTTTATGCATTATGCCATTCCAGCCTGTTTAAAACTCCTCATTACTTTTTTTTTTACTTTTATTTACTATTAAAACCTTTATTATTTGTTAAAAAGTAATTAATTATGTTTTTGTAGTAATGTTTTAAATATATAATAAATATCAATTTAGTATCATCCAACATTTTAATTAAGAGAGGGAAAATTAGACAATCTTGGTACATAGGGTGGGGTTTGTGAGGGGGAGTGGGTAAGTGTGCCATGCTAAGGCTATATATATCTTGGCAGAGTAGTGGCCGCTATGAAACAGGCCGGTGGCCAGAAGGAAGAGGAGATACCATGGGACCTGGTTGACAGGTGTCTCCTCCCGCTAGTATTCTCTCACGCGTTCTCAGTCATTCTTAGCACCATTCTTGGATTTTTAGGGTTAGCTCGCCTGACACTCGTCTCCGTATTTTTACCGAGCATAGCACTCACACTTGCCCTTACTCTCTTCTACCACACTCTGAAGGTTAAATCTGTGCCTTTTAGTTGATATTTATGCTTTCCTCTCTAATTTTCTTCTTGCGTTAGCGCTAACATCATTAAAAATGAAGCTTATATTGTGTGTATTATTGTTCTTAATAATCAAGCTCAGTTATAACTGGGACCAAATATGGTGTTTTCAGTGGGTGAGAATGTTTCAATTCCACTCTAGTGAATCAAGGAGCTTTGTATTTTCATCAACTGACAAGTATGCTATTTTTGTTTTGTTGTAATAAATATTAACATTTATTAATAATGGGCTTAGCTAAATTAGACTAAGGAGTGCTTGCTCCCCTCTCCCCTTTAGAGCAAAAGTGTTATCAATAGAATATAACTTTATATAGGTAAGAAACTCATGATTTTTAAAATTGGCAAATATCCAACTTTTACTATCTCTGGATTTTTTTTCTTTTAGTTTTATTTAATTTATATGAAAATCTATTTTATAATTAACAAAACAAAACTAATATAATTTATGGGTTAATAAATTAATAGAATAAATATCTTATAATATGACAGTAGATAATTAAATTTTTTAAATCATATTTAATTAGGACATTTTATATATGTGTGTATACATAAAAAAAACTTTTAATATTTCAAAATGTTTATGAATGAATGATTTTTAATAAGCTTTCATTAAATTATGGGCTAGTAAAACCTTTATTTTACAAATTTTCTTTGAGATCCTGTCAGTTTTATTAGCAGTGGTAGAAATAAAAATAGTCTCATTTATTATATATGTCCTCTATGCTGCTAGACTTGGTCAGAAAAATGGAATAGGTTCTTTTTATGGTGAAGAAAATCTTTTTTGATAAATGAATGATTAAATTAACCTATCTTATAAGGTATTTTTTTTTTTTTTTTTTTTAGATTTAACATAAGAGGTGTTTTCTATTAATTCAAAATACTATTTTAATTTAGAATAATAAAATTAATCCTTCTTTTTTTTTTTAGGTATCATGTGCAGGAAAGATAGTTGTTGTGACAGGCTGTGAATCAAGGATTGGATACTCCATAGCAAAACATCTTGATGATTTGGTATGATTTTTGTATTGTTTTTTAATATTTTAATGGAGCTATTTTTTTTTTTTTTAAATGTGAATTGAATAAAAGATAGATATACAATGAAGAATGCTACTCTTCAAAACAGGCTCACATTTTTTTTTATAATTTCAAGTATCGCCATATTCTTCTCACAATTTAATTCATTTGTTTGGTTATTGTCTGAATTTTATAAAAAAGATGTTTTCAATAATTTATTTTTATTACTTTTGAAATTGTTGAGGGGAATAGGACTGATTCCAATAATTTTCAGTAGTACCCTCAGGTTGTTTTGAAGGATCACACAATATTTGTTAAATTAAATAAGACAGTCTATAAAAATATATATTTAAAATGAAATATTTTGGAAAATGAAAATTTATTCTGATATTTGGTGATATAAATCAGATAAAATCGCCTTTGAATAAATATTTTCTAGCTTCAAATATATTTGTTTTTATGTCAAAATTTACATTATTTTTGTTTTTGTATGCACCAAACATTGTTATTATTCACTCAGCTCATTCATGGACAAAATAAAAATCTTCTTCTAATGCATATAACATTATTTTTTGTGTACTAAGGTGATATTAAATAAGGTGTATAAATAATTTTAAAACCTCCAAGACAATTGGTTTTCTTACAAATCAATTTTCTTGAAGTGTTTGATTTTATCTTAAGGTAGTTTTATTTTCATAAATACCTTTCATTCCCTCACTAAAGGCAAGATGCAAATATAAATTATTTTTAAAAATCATACTAAATGTATTGTTTGATTAATTTATTTGTATAATCGGTATGGTTTTATTGATGCTCAACGGAAATAAAATAAACATTTTGAAAAAAATTCTAAAAATAATTGTTATTTCACAGGGTGTGACAGTATTAGCTGGTTTTTCACGCAATGAAGAATCCAAACCTAAACTTAAAGAGGAATGTTCAGGAAGATTACAAATATTTGACTTGGACATTAGCAGTCAAGAACATATTTCTGAAGCTGTCAAACTCATTTATCAGAATGCACCAAGTGAGAATGAACAATCAGCATATTATATTCATCACTAATCATATATTTATTTATACATTCTCTATAGAAAACTAATTATGTTAATAGTTCATTAAATATATTTTTGTATTTAAACTTTGCTTTATTTAAAAACCATAAAAGTTTAATTTTATTTATGCTTTCTAGATGGGATTTGGGCTGTTGTTAATGCCGCATCGTGGACTGCGTTTGGTGAAGCTGAGTGGGTTCCAATGGCTGCCTTTAAGCGTATGATAGATATTAATCTTGTTGGAACTATATGTTTCACGTCAGCCCTGCTACCATTGATCAGAAAGACCAAAGGTAATAATTATCTTTTTATTACCATATTTACTATGGTGAAATCAAAGGAGATGATGTGCTTAACCTTACTGTCAATAAGTGTATAATAAAATACCAAAATTCATTCATTCATCCAAGGAACATTACACTTTATATATATACATATATTATAAATATATTAGAGACATTCCCTAACTTCACTAAGTTAGGGTGACATTGTACACAATTTAATTTTGACTAAACTAGAAAATATAAATATTTAAGCCTCTTATTTGTATTATATGTACATGTTATACAGCATATACATGTTTATTTTATTTTCTGACTTTTACAGTTTATATAAATGTTTTTAAAAATTGATTTAAATAACAGATATAAGTATTTAAATAGCCCAGCACATTTAAATCAATATAACTATTGTGTAAAGTTATAAATTTTGAAAATTTAATGTCCTAAAAATACAGTAAGAAATAGGATGCTCTGTAATATAATTTTTAATCCCTTTCAATTATAATTTTTTTTTCTGTTGGCATTACAGAACATGTAAATCTTTTCCTGCCTTAACAAGCCTGCTCTATCTGTGCCTGTCTTAGGCTATTTCTTTCCATTTACCTTCACGCAGCTCTATTGAATCTTTGTCGACTCCATCTGCTTTTTGGCCTTTCACAAGGTCTTTTGCCTTCTATTGAGGCTTCCAGATGGATTGCTATGATCTACATGCCCCACCTATCTAAACCTCAGTGCCTTCATATCATGGGATATTGATTACCAGTTTCTGTAAGAAGTTCTTTATTGGTCTTTTTTCTCCATGTGTTACTACTATGATCCCGGATCACTCCGATTAATTAATCATTCATCTTAATTAATCAGATCACTATAATTATCAATTATAATTACACTAATAATGGATTTTTATTTATTTCTTTACTTTGGATTTGTAGGAAGGATAGTGAACCTGAGCAGTATACATGGTAGAATCCCGACCGGCCCTAGAGCACCAATGTCCACGGTTACAGCTGCTATATCCGCCTTCTCAGATGCTCTTCGCCTGTCCATAGCCAAGTGGGGTGTTGACGTTGTTCTTATAGAAGCAGGATCTACTACTACTGGTATAATAGAACATATTTATATAGATAATATTGTTATTGATTTTGTTTATATTTGATTATATCCTATGAAATGTCCATATTTTGTGGTAGCATTTATAAAATATGAATACATTTAATATAATTTTATCAATCATCATGGTTTTGATTCAGTTCTTACTATGAACAAGTTTTCAGATTATTATTATTTTTAGAAAATCTTAAATTTAACCAATCATCAAATAAATAAAATTCTTCAATAAATTTTGTATTTTTTTTTTGCTAGTTTTAAACTCATCTTTCATCGGCAATTCACAACAAAATATAGAGGTAATTAGTCGTAAAATACTTAGCAAATATTCAATCTTTGGAAGTTTTCTATGGTCAATCTCAATATTAATTACCATTAATTGAATAGGAAGTTGCAATAAGGAAATAATTTCAAAATTGTCACTTGTGGGAAATTAAAAAAAAATCATAGCTCATTTATTAAAATTTCTATTTGTTTCTAATCATGGTAAATTTAAATGTTTATTAAATAGAAATGTCAAAAAAATGTTTTACTTTTGTTGAGAAAAATTAATAATTAAATTAAAAACTTATAAAAGGTGTTAAAGGTTAAATGTTCAAGAAGGAGAAATATGAAAATAATTCTTTATAACTAGGATTGCTTTCATTTCAACTTGATTTTTAATTCCTTCTTCCTCACCTTATATGAGCCTATGAATGAAAATTGTAAAGATGTGATAAAAATTAAAAATAAATTTCTTTGGTTATTTCCATTTCTATTTTGTAAGAGCATTAATTTGTTCATGCTTTCTTTCACAATTAAAGTTCATAATTAATTTTTAAATGTTGAACATTTGTATTTGCAAATACCTCCCATTATATTTTTGCTTGATTAAGAGATTATTTCTCAGTCATAATTTTTTTTTTAATTTTTGCAGGTGCATGGTATGATCGTAAGGACATGTTGGATGAAGCAAGAAATCTTTGGCAAAACTTGAGTGAAGAACAAAAAGCTACATATGGGGAAAATTATTTTGAGCTAAAAATAACATCTTTGAGAGAATATCAGTCTCAACAGGTAGGTAGAAACATTTATGCTGATTTGATGAAATTTAACTTATAAATAAAAATGATAAATCAATCTCAAAATAGACCTTCAAGGTAGACATGTCAATTGAGGTGTTTGATTCTCAAGTTTATCTTATTAAACTTTTATCAATAAATATTTGTACCATTTTTATAGTAATAATTTAAATTCCAATCAGAATGTGTTGTAATGCACAGATTTTTCAATTTCTTATCAGAATGTAAGTAAAATATCCTCTAAAATTGTTCATGTCTTCAATTATATTGCCTCTGTGTTAAATATTAGATAATATCATTCACAACCACAGATACTAATTTTTACGAGTGTATCTAAGTATCTAATGGGATCAGCAGTTTAGTAAAAAATGCTAGTAAAAGCTAAAATTAAAGTCATAAAAAAAATACAAATGGTTGACCAATATAAAGCTCAACACAGATGCAACCAACACGATGAAAAACCAATAAATTAGGCCTTGTTTCTAAACAGAAAATTGAACAATGGTTTTGTTTACCATTTCTATTTAATTTGATTAAATTATTATTATTCATATTTAATATTTATTATTATTGAATTATTAATAATTAAATTATTTTGTATTCATTTTCCAGGAAGACCTTTCAGCATTACTGAGAAGTATTGGGGATGGAGTGACAAGAACATTCCCACTGCCACGCTACACACCTGTGACTCGTAAAGAGAAAATTCAAGCGTTTGTAGCTGAATATTTGCCTTATTCCGTGTACAACATCATTTATAACTAGTTCTACCAAGGAATAGATGTAGATTGCATCTGATTCGTTGTGTTACGAAGATACGAACGAAATCCTGAAACATTTGCGACTTCTTTGTATTGACATTGAAGTTATCATTATTAAACATTAATTGAAACAATAACAGCCATTTTAAGTATCAATTGATTCCTCAAAAGTGTGAATTGATTCCCTGAATCAAGCAAACAGCTTTTAAGATACTTATTTGATGATTGAAAAAAAATCAAATTTATTATTTGAGGATTGTCTTTTCAGTATTATATCAGATTAAATTAGACCATAACTGGAAGATTACCCACAAAAAAAGCATCAAGTTTCTAAAAAAGGTAAATAATTAATCTGTCAACATTTGACCAAATTCAGACATCATAGAGATAGAATCAAATATATGCAAAAAAAAAAAAAAACGCACATCTCACACCAATGATTTCTGAATTGTTGAGTAAATTGTTTATCTGCATTTTTAGATAATTTTTTTGCTTTCATATTATTAAATTAAATTTTATTTATTTTTTTAATGTATTTATTGTTCTGTGGAAAAGAGTTAATCCTCATATATTATCTAGTTCATATTTTAACTAGGAACATTTCACAATGAAAACTAATTTTTTTTTATTGTATAGTCAATAGATCTAAGCATAAAATTGTTGAAAGAAATGCATTTTTTGCATTATTGAAATGCATTTAATTATCAACATATGCATTTTAATTTTCTAGCCATTCTAGTATTTTCCTTATGGTTTAATGGAACCTTAAGCGATATCAGTTAAAATGGCTGTAAAATAAAAATTTGAACATGAATACTATATAATTTGTGTAATTAATTCCCTCAACCAATATGAACAGCAGTTGCATAGGTTTTAGATATCAATTAATTAAGTTATAAGAGCAGGTGCATCTCATCCGTTTATTGTCACAGGCTGAGTGACAGGTGTAGATATAAAAATAAAAGTTTACAAACAAAAATAAATTAGGGCAGTTGTTATATCTTTTAACAGTAGTTGCAGTACAACTAAACTGTAGAATCACTAACATATTATGTTGTATTTCCTACAATATTACCTAAACAATACATACAGTGGTGTGCATTCTCATCTTGTCAAATCTACTTAGCAAAAATTTAATTAATCACATATTAGCTGATGAACACTAGCATCTTTTGGTATAATATTTAAGTTTTAAAAGTATCATTTAGATACAACCAACCATATTTTTTTCTAAACTGGTCAACGTTTCAGTAAAAGTTTATCCAAACGGCTTTTAAAGATTTCTTACATTTTTTACTTATTACTATGTTTCCAATATTATTTTCATAAAATAGTATAGTTTGTTAGCCATGTGTAATATGCGAATGGCAAAAACAAATACCAAAATTAAAGATAGTTGAATGAATAACAAATACCACAAAAAAAAAGGATATTTTCTCAAGTACATTGATTTTAATTCCAGTAAAAACCTTGTACTATTAAAGGTATAACTCACCATAGCATTGTTAAAAAAAAAAACATAACACATTCATCCATAAGATTGTTAAGATAAACTTGTGACTAAAATTATAACAAAGTTCAGGAATAAACCTATTTAATTTTATTTTTTTCTGCAGAAATATAAAAGCAAATTATAATACAAAAAAAGAAAACATCTGCAGTGTTTATGGTTTGGATATCACTGAAGTTAATGAAACCATAAAAAGAATTCTTTTAAAATGGTAGTGTGCAAACATTTAATAAGTTTGTTTATAATTTTTTTTTATAAATTTTAAACTTTAATTCATATCTGGGTTATTTTTTGTTAGTTCATTCATAAATAAAATATTGATTAACTAATAAAGTTTAAAATTAATAAAACAAAGTGTTAACATTTCTCAGCTCGGCATATCCTATTTCAGTAAATACATTACACAAATTAAAACTTTCATCTACTAATTGTAGATGTTTAGACATACATAAACTAAAGCAGCTAAAAAGTTTTGAATAAAAAATCTAGCTAATATAAAAGAAATCAAAAACATTAATGAAAGAACATTTTTTCCAAAATAGTTCCAGGTATAATTAATTCAAAGGTTTAGGATAAATTAATATTATGGTAGGTATTGAAAATAATGATACAAGGGAAACAGATATGCATAAAATTTTATTAATTTTAACAGTCTTCCTTCCATGATACAAATAGTCACATCTTAAGACGAATTTCCACCAGTCATATAAAAATGCTTTTCTTACAGTTATAAAAGTCACAAAATATCAGTTGAACTCACAAGTCTTTGGAATAAAAAAGTGAGTCAATGGGTACATCACAGATCTGTTTTACAAATAGTCATGTCCTTTTTCCTTCTTTTTTTTCTTTACTTTTTATAGTAGGTTAAAGAAAACAAATTAGAGTAAAAAAATGGCAATTTTACAAATGCCAAACAGAAAATGAATCAGGGAATACCAAAATTCATTTTCTGATACAATTAGTTCTTAAAATATACAAATAAATATTAGCTAAACTTAGAACGTCTTAAAAAAATATAAATCAGAAATAACATTGAATCTTTAAGGAACAAATGAGGATTTATCATAACGTTATAAAAAGAAGGCATTCATACTACTCAAAGATATATAATATAATACATCTTTATAATAATTTTTATCGAATTCCTCTTTTGAAAATGCTGTCAGCAGCTACTTTAGCTTCAACTCCTTCCTTCTTCTTATTTGGATTTGGTGCGAAACATTTCCAGAGTCTCAGAGTCTCGTCGGCACCTGCTGAAAGAACTGTACTTCCATCAGGAGACATGGCAAGTTGAAGAACCCTCGCAGTATGTCCTGTCAATTCTGCTACCTTTATAAACATAATAATTGCAGGTTATTTTAAACGTGTATACGAACAAAAATATTCTTATTTCTACTAAAATGTCACAGACTATAGGTTATTACAAGCAGGGTTAAAACTAGGCTTTTTGCCAGGAAGGACAAACTTAATTTTCACCCCACCTTTCATCAATTAATTTTAGGCTGACTGTATTAAGGCAAAAGAACGAAAAAGTAGAAATAATTTTTACTAAAGCCAAATTTGCTGTCTGAGGTAAGCACCACTTACCTCTATCCTAGTAGTTCCAGTAATGATTATAAGTAGAGCTGAGTGAGTGGTTAAGGTAATGTAATAAAAAAAGAATAGTTTCAATATCGCTCAATTCATACACATTTATAAATTTATTTTATAATTAATAGTGGGATAATAATTTATATATATATATATATATATATATATATATATATATATATATATATATAAATACATCACTATAACATTTAAATTTTTTTTTTTGTGTTTTTATACTGTGTTAACTTATTAATTTTTAGAACAGTGATAAAACAAATAAATAAATTAAAACAGCAGTAGTCATGCTTTTAAATTTTTTTGTTTATACTTATTCTGACTTTTTCCTCAAAAATTAACTAATATATTACAATAAATATAAATTATCATAAGGACATTGAAATATTTAGATTCATTATTGTTATTTATTATTATGTTCATTATCACAAGTATTAACTTTTATCAACATTAAAAAACTAAACTGTTTAAACATTTTTATAAAGTGAAATAGGTGTTGTATGCTCTATATTTCAAGTATAGAAAAATAAATAAAAATCCAGGAATTAAAATCTTGTTTAGAAAATGATTTTATGTAAAATATGTAGTTTATAATATATTGTAACCATACATTTAATTGTATTTCTACTTATTTCAGATTTAAAAAATATAAACAACGAATATTTTTTGTAGTAAATTAAATATTATATATTTCTATTTTTTTTTTTTTTTAAGTTACCAAATATCGGCATAAAAAAACATTTAAAATATGTTTTACTTCAATAAACATTTTAAAAAATATTTCAGCTAAGAAAGAAAAGCACCGATTGGGGAAAAAAAAAAAATTGAAAAGTGAAACGGTTATGAAAATGTTGAGCCATTGGTGTGGAAACAAAACAATTTATGTGAGAGCATAGAGAATGTGGAGTGTGGGTGGGGAAACTTAGTGACAGATACAATCTTATCACTGGCATGGTTCAACAAAATCATAGCAGGATAACCTCCACACACTAGGGTAGGTAGCACTCTTTGACAGATTCTTCAGTGCACATTATTTCCTTATTATTTATCAAAGCACCCATTATTTCAGACAAATAATGTCAAAAAAAAAAGGAAGTATATATATATATAATGTATTTTAAATTCTGTAATTCACCCTAAAGATTATTATAAACATCACAACTTCATTTAATAATGAAAATATGAAATATAAATAAATAATAATTAATTATTCAAGTTAATAACCAACATTGGGACTGATTAATTGACAACTGCAGTTTAAATGTCATATTTAAATATTAAATATTTTTAATACAGATTCTTTTAAAAATAACTAAACCTAATATTTATTGATCACTACATCTTATAAAAATACTTTTTAATTCAGAATTCAGTAATTAATTTAATTCTTTAGTGATTCATTAATTTTTAGACAAATAAGTTTTTTTATTTTTTTTAAATTAAACTACAAAAGGAAACAATAAACTAATGTTAACTAACATGGTCATTTTCTTTTCTTTTTTTTTTAAAGCATTCACAAAGCAGTATATTATAAAATAAATATGTTTATCACAAAGATTTCAAAATAGCAATAAGTATTTGCAGAGTATGTGACACATCTAATAATAACACATTTAATTCCGTGATTCCTACCTGCTCTTAATATTTCAAATATGAGATTTTCAAGTAGCTTACAAATAAAATATGACTTATTTAACAATTACAGTAGTGATTGTTATTAACTTATTAGTCACAGAAGCAGTTACATATTACTAAACTTTTATTAAAACAAAATGAGTTACCTACAAAAAGTGTTTTTAACCAAAATCAAAATGGATTTTTCTATTGTCTGATATCTGTATTAATAAAACAGATTATTTTAAAATTAAATTATAAAAAAAAAAATGAATATCATATTATATATGATATGTATTTCTCAATATTTTGCAACATATATGTTAATTAAGCTCTTCTTTAAAATATGAAACATTGACAAGTTTTTGAATGTTCAAAGATTAAAACACACATTTCATAACTAAAAAAGAAACAATTTTTTTTTAATGTATGTAAGAGCCATAATTCTCCATTAGTTTATATATTAATAGCTATAAATTAAATAAAGTAAAAAATAAAAACTATGATTATTATCTAAAGAATTATTTTATTTTATTTGTTAATAATAGTTTTTCAGTTAATGAAAAAACATGTTTTATTTCAATTTCATTTTAAAGTTACCCTCTCCTTTCATGTAAAACAAAAATTAAAACATTTTATGGAATAATTTTGTCCTTAAATTTCTCTAAACAACCAATAATTATTTTTTAATTGATGTATATTTATTATTTTTTAAACTTAATTAATTTTTTTTTCTGTTTCATTAAATGTTTAATTACCTTTCCTCTTTTTTTGCTCAGGCTATGTTAGCAGAAAATGTTTTTATTTAAATTGCTTTGAAGTATATAATTGTGATCAAATCATGAGATAAATACAAAAGACAGATCTTAATTAATGTATAAGATGAATACCCTCAATAATGCCACCTAACATTAAGAAACAACAATTGAATTTTTATAAAACCTTATGTTGAAATGAATTTGCTAGAAAATGTCTTTATCTTATTTATGGCAGATGCATGGTTATACATGATAAATTTGTGATGAGACCTTTTGACTGGGCTAATTTATTGTAACAAGATATCTTATAAAATGAATTATAACATTTTATTATTTACATCCAAGAGATACCATCAGCAGTCAACATATATTCCAATCAAATTTTTCAACTAACAGTTGAATAAAATAGCAATTTAATACTTGGAACAATTATAAAATCAACACTAATAATAAAATGTCATTAAGTAAGCAATACATCATATTTTATTAAATTTGTGTGGGAAATAAGACCCGTTTGATATCTTACTTGTAAAAACAATTATTGATAACTAATTATAGATAATTTCTTATCAATGATCACCTATATTCAAAACAAAAAAAAAAGTTTGATGCATCAGAGTTGATTAAATAAATGGAAATATGGATGGAAGTATTCAATCCATTGAGTGCAACTCTTATGAAAGGGGACAGCAGAAGTTTCCATCTATTGATTACTTTACACGCAGGGCCTGACCCCACTTCAACTTTTCCAAATCTTAAAGGTCAGAGAGCCTGGCCCTTCACCAAGTTCATATCAAGCAACTAACATCAAATTTATTTTTAAGAAAAGTTTAATAATAAATTTACACACGTATTTTCCAGGCATTTGGAGAACTGCCAAGTAATGAAATATCCAACACTGCTTAGTGAACAAAAAAATCTGACGGCTCAAAACTAGATAAGACCTCTCACTAGGTATTATGTTCAAACAATGTTTCAGGCCTATGTTAATGATATATGAATATATTTTTAATGGTCTTGTTTTAAGTGATATGCTTTAGAAGGTTACAGATATCTCTTTGTCAAGGTGCTATTGCACTATGAGAAAGGTTGGAAAAAGTATTTTTTATGAGGACAGTGAAGAAGTGAAGCAAGGTAAGTTTTTAACAGAATTTTTTTATTTTATACAATTTATTTCATTAATGTTTACTTATTAATAAATTTTTTTCAATAAAGTCATCATAATAAAATCTTCTTCCAATATTTTAATTTTAATGAGAATTGTAAATATTTAATTTAATGTATGGACACACAGGCATTTTTCTGTATATAGAATCTGTCCTAAAGTGACAGGATAATAAAAAAAAAAATAAAAATTTCATTTCATTTCAATATTAATGTATTTTGAACTTCACTAAAACATATTAAACTTGAACTTCATTTTCTTAAGCTATCTCCATAAAATGACAAGTATATTTGAAAAAGGGACTTATTCCAAGCGACTCTTAATGTAATGAATCCATTTATTAATTGTTATAACGGAGTTATTTAAAAAAAAATTATAAAAGGAAATCAATAATATTTGGTGGAGAATAGGAATATTGATGGAAACGCCATTGTATAAAAAATAGATAAAAATGTCAATACATAAATATGAAATGTAATATGAAAATATATTTCTAAAACTTTTTTTCTGAAAGAAACAAATTAAATCTATATCTAATTTCAGTAGTTCATAACCCTTGTTCTTTGATATATTATATATCTTTATACAATGATGTTATTGTAAAAACAATTTACAATAAATAGACATCAAATATTCAATATTAAAATGGGTAGATCAACAATTTTTATTTAATATCAGATTGTCTTCACTCAATTTTATGGAACGAGTCACAGCTGAGAGTTGAGAGGACAAAAATTGATTGATTGATGCGATTCATTATGTTTGACAAATTATAATATTCTTAATTTAGAACATAATTTAATTATCATACATACAAAGGACACTACCTAATTATGTAATGAAATTTTAATTTTAATTAAAACAAGAGACAACAAAACTCTAAATAATCTTTCCCTTTAAATGCTTGATCACAGAACCTAGTGATGGCATAGTGGAGGCACGCAACGCAATATTAGTAACAGAAGCGGAATATCTGGGTCATTTGAAGGTTTTGACAGAGGCTTATATTAAACCATTAACTCCGATGTTGTCAGACATTGAATCTCAACAATTGTTTGGAAACATAGAATCAGGTAAATTTAAAAATTATATAAATTTTTAAATAAATGAAATTAAAATATAAAAATTTATTTCAAGATGAGGAGTATTGTTCTGAAACATAAACAATGAATTATAAATAATAAAGTATACGGCGCAATAATGAATGCTATTTAAATTTGTCAAATGACCCTAGATAAAAAAAAATGTTCTAATTGCGAGTGATAAAGAATGGATCATGATCGTAAAGCACTTAGACCAAAAAGCATAAACTGCTGGATAAAATTGACGGGCTAAGGTCTAAATTTTTATTGACTCCATGAATATGATATTGCCCTCCTAAAATGACACTAACTTTTGATATAATAGTTAAAAATTAACATGTGATAAAAATACAAACCAGGAATCTAATTAGCAACTATAAATAAATTCTGATTGTTATCAACTCCTAATATACTTTTAAAACCTATAGATATAAGTTAATCGTTATATTAAGAAAATGGTGCATTAATTTTGCTCAGTAATTCAGATTTTCATGTCTAAAATTTATGCTAAATCGACTGGTATTTAGGCTAATGCTATTGCACTAAAGGGTCTAGTTTATCCGAACTCATACATTACCCTCCTTTAAGATCTATTAAAATAACTAATAAATTAATAAACTCAATAAATTGTTTATCTTATCTAATTTAATGAGATTTCGTTTATTCCGAATTTTTAATCAGATGTAATAATTCTAGGTATCATGGCTTGAAATATCAGACTGAAACCATTTACTTATTAAATGTAATTTAAATTTGTTATTTTTAAAAATGTTTCTTTTATTTCTAGTAATCAAGAGTTCTGAAAAGCTGGTTGAAGAACTGTCGATGACGTGGACATCAAATGACATGTATAACGTAGTAGTTGAAGCAGCGGCTACTTATCTTCACGAGTATGTCCAATATTGTTCTGGATTGCCGACGGCACTTTCTCTATTAGAAAGGCTATTGTAAGTTTACAACCATTTCAAATGGTCCCATATTTAAAAAGCATTGGTTGATCATATTATCGAAGCATTTTTCATGGTAACCATTATTCTTATTTTACAAAAAATCAATAAAAAGTAACTTTTTTGACTATTGATACAATTAATGCAATGTGCATGAGCAGTAGCAAAATTTCTGAATCGATAATTTTTCTAATTAAAAAAAGACAAAAATAGGGTATCCTACAAACTAGGTCATATTTCATATTCATGCAAGTGATCCTGTAATTAATGCTTTAATATAATATGATATTGTGAGGAACAAAAGTAAATATTAGTAAAACTTAACCAGATTTTGAAGAGAAGAATAATTAATATTGAAGATTTTAATATCACATTGATAACTCTATTGATGAAACAAATCATTTAAATAGTAACTAACATATAATTTTTTAAGAAATGAGCGAGAAGAATTCCGTGACAAAGTTTGTGAAAGTGAAGGGAATGTTCGCGGAATCGGACTGCAATCTTGTCTTCTTAAGCCTTTCCAACGACTTACAAGACTGCCCCTACTGTTTGAACCCTTAAAAAGTGCAGGAGAGCCAGTAACGCCAGTTATTTCAGCAATTACAAAGGTAAGTGCATGGAAATTAAGGAACGATAAAATATAATATTAAATAATTCTGCCTTAAAAAAATTAACATTAATTCTATAGCACAAAAGTTACCAAAACTAGAGGTTGAAGATCTACACAACCAACTCTTCCAGGGCTAAGTTGGATAATGAGGCTATTGAGTGCCCTTCAAAAATACTACTTATAAAACTTTACATGCTTACTCTTTTGTGCTATAGATGAAATTTTTTAGTATGCAACTGCAATAAGTAGTCTGTTACTATGGAAAATAAAATATTAAATTATATTAATAACTCATAAAGAAATAATAAGTTTGTATGCTTTTCGGTAAAAAAAACTAAATTTTCATATATCCCTTTTTGCACTAACAGCAGCAAAATAAACAATGTGTTATAATACACTTTAATACTTAACAAACCCCTAAGAAGTTTAATTTGAAATGAAAAATGGTTATTTGAAATTTCTTTGTCCTGTAAAATCAGAAGAAACCGTTTATTTTTTATATAATTTTATTCTAAAAGTTTTTCAATTAAAATTCTGTACTTCAAACTTATTCTTTACAAGGACAAAATTACTGATATCATATGAAGTTTAAATTTAGAAAATTATTTTTTAAAAAAATTAATTTCAACGTATTTATCAATTCTCACCACACAATATTGGGACATTTAGAAGTTCCGGAGCGACATTTCTTAGTATCACCATTTCAAAATTATTTTTTTATTTTTTGAATGGTCAAAGAATACCCTAAAATGTTTCATGAATACAATCGGGCAAAAGAATTTCAAGTTTTAAGCCTTGTAATGAGACAATACTATTCATCACGCTTCAAGACAACTAAAAAGTGTTACATATTCTTTTGACCAAGCGATAATAATGCATAAGAAAATAATCTTTATTGAATCATTTTTATTTTTAAAATATTAACATTCTTTGACTTATGAATTTAACAGATTCTTACTTTTTTTTTAAAAAAGTGTGATAGAAAAATAAATAAATAAGTAAAAAACTAATAACAAGTATAAGTAATAAACTAACAGAGCTATGATTTCCAGTTGGTGGAAGAGTGTAACAACAGCGTCGAAGAGGTCTCTTGTACCCCTAGCAACTCAAATAATGTGAGCATGCATACTAACTAACAGCACTGATTTAAGTTTTGAATGTTTTAATTATCATTTATAATTGTTACAGGAAAACAGTAGCTGTCGAAGGTCTTCCAGTTTCTATGTAGATTTATAGAATTTTTTAGAAATTCTAACATTAAACTAGTGCAATATGAAGAGTACAAATATTTTAGGAAAGAAATGATTAACGGCTATAAAAAGTAAGTGTGTAGTCAAGATAGAGGGAAAAATGCAAGGATATTGCTAATTATAAAAATATGAAGTCACATCTTTACCGATCTTGGAATATAGTTTTAATATAAAAAATCCTATAAGATTTTTTTTTTTTTTGTTATGATTCATAGAGAGATTTGAGAAATATCTAGTTATCACTATTAAAAGTCTTAAAATTATTCAATCTAAAAAGTTATGCTTGGCAACCTCCTTAGTGTAGGAGATGACCTCAAGACTTGGCTACTTGAAATTGAGATCTATACACTTTAACCGTGCAGGGAAACTTGGTAATGAACAAGAGCATTACTCATGTATGATGTGATGGAATGGAAAAAAAACAGGAAATACAGATTATGGTATATACCACAGATGGGGAACTTGCAGCCTCGAGGCCACATGTGGCCTCCATGAGCTAACTTCACACAATCTTGTTTTATCTAGTGCTATAATTAATATATAAATATTTAGATTAGAAACATTTGAAAATTAAGTTTAATATATGTATATGGGTGCTTGTATTTATAAGTTATAAATAAAAATAGGAACAGTAAAATATAGAAAAAATAAAATAAAAATAGTGCGGCATCCATTATCATTGCCTAGCCTTGATGCGGCCTCTTATGATAAAAAGGTTTCCCACCAACGGTATATACCAGCACTTAGCTTTTTCAGATGGGTTTAATAAAAGAAGTCGGGACTACAAATTTTAATTCCAGTTAAAATTTAATATCTGTCACAAAATGTTATAATTTCATATTCTTCTTGATTAGCAATCTTCTTAGCATTATTTTTTCAATAATGAAATGTATTCTTAAATTACTCGTTTTCGATTGCACGTATTGTATAACTAAATTATAATCTAGTATCACTACAATTAAGTATTATTAACTTTCAAGTTGAAAGCCGTAGAACAATATAAAATTATATAGCAAGAGATTAATCCAAATATTGAAAATGCTTTGTTATTCAAATTATTGAAATCAGAATTATAAAAAAGCTATTATTCAGAAAATGTAGGATATTTGAATTATAAGAAAGTGGTATAACTTTAATTCGGAACTAAGTAGACTGTTACTTACAACTGTGTTATAAATTAATTAGTATATGATAGTGCCTAAGAAAACAATAGATATAAATAAACAGAATGGAAATTGTCCTAGGTTTAGTAAAAGTTGAAATTTGGAAGATGGGCCAGAAAGCGAAATATGTGAAAGTAAAAAAAAATGATCTAATACGACAAAAATAGAATAAAATACTATTACATATTTTTCTATGAAGAAACACTTTTAAATTTCACTAACAGCTAAACCTATCGATCTGGCAAATGTTTTGAAAACTTGTTTTACTAGTCGTAAAATCATGTATTAGTCTGTGATAATGATAGTAAATATTTAGTATGGTAAACAAACAATGTTGAGCATTACTTACCTTTACAAGAGACGGGTACTTCCAAATTATGAGCTGGTTATTAGCGTAACCATGTCCTGATATAAGTTCCTTATAAGTCGGTGACCATAACAGTCCACAAACCTAAATATAAATAACCATACAATGAACTTAATTAATTTATTCATTAAGCAAGAAATTTTAATAATAATTATAAAAAATAAGCTAAAAAAAATAAAACAGCACCACACAACTCAAGACAAAGTCAAAATGAGTTACTTTTCTTTAACTAAATTCTCAAAAAACAATTCAAACAAAGTTTAGTCCATTTTTTTATTTTATTTAAATAATGCTATAAATATAAAATTGAAAAATTAACAAAACCATATATCACTTGTTTGTAGAAATGTTTTAACAAATACAAATTGGTCCAAACAAATAAATTTGAAATACATGATAATCAACTGAATATTACAAACAAATGATTGTTTCAATGCCAATGGGAAGGAAGGAGAGAAATTGATTTTATCAAATAAGATAGATTGAACATTCTAACCAATAAATAATTGAAATAGTGATGGTATATTGATAAATAAGACTCACATTTTAAAATAATTTGTTCAGTTAACTATTTAATTATTTAAAAAAATATATATATATAATGACATCAGAATTGAACTTTCATATATCAAGCCTGATGGTACCTTGAAAAAATTTTATAACCGAAAAAAAAACAAAAAAAAAACATGTACACGATACTTGTCAAAAAACCATTATTTATATTTTAAGGATTGAAGAATTTTTTTTGGTTAAGAAAATAATTAAATAATCGATGATTTAATCTATATATATTTAAAAAACGTTAATTTCACATAAATAACAATATCATAAAAATGTGAAGGACCGAAAAGATTCATTTGACAAAGAAATTTTATTAAACCTACAGTAAATTTTAAATAAATGAAAACTCAAGGTCCTTGATGGAAATTTGAAAAATTGAAGTTCAATATATATGAATTTCATTGTACATCCAATGTGCCTTAAAGCTGTAAGACTATAAGATAAATAGATATAACTATTAGACAATTACGAGGTGCTATTAGCTATTTAAAAGAAATTTTTACCTGAGATTTGGTGTCAATTGAGTTAGTAGATAACCCAGTGTTGCAGTTCCAAAACCTTATGTGCCTGTCGGCAGTACCTCCACCACTGGCGAGTATCGATGGTTGCCAAGGGCACCATGCTAGCGCTTTTACAGCAGCCTGATGCTCGCTATAAATTATTCAAAATTTTAATCACTCAATAGAGGATAAAGTTTAATGAGTATTTATTTCAATGAAAGATAGAAGTGAAAACTATAAATCAATTTCTAGACCAAAATTTTTTTTTTCATACTCTAAACGAAATCTTTTGACTAAAATATTTAAAGATGAAAATAATAAATAATTCAAGGACTAAAGAACCTTTCTAAATCAACACCTTTAGAATAGTGATGCTTTTTATTTAATATTACATTATTTGTATTAATATAATACTTTTAATAAAGTATTTCTCTCTCCAGAGGTCAGTAAAGTTTAGAGTAAACAAAAATCATATGAACAAAAAAAAAAAAGGTAGAAAAATTGAATTTCAGGGAATCAAAATTTCAAATAAATGTAATTCAACGAGATACAGAAAACTTAAGCTTATAATGAGTTAAACAGAAGGAAAGTAGCTTAGAAACAGTCTGTATGTATGATATCATGTAAAGTTAAAATTATAAATTCCATCTCCATTTCAACAGCAATCAAATGAAAATAAATATTTGTTTTTTGTGTCTATTTCCAGCATATTCCATAGCAAATTATGTAAACATTTTGCATTTGTGCAGCGGTCTGCAATAGCTTCCATTACTTTTCTTTTAAATGAAACAATTGTAAAGATTTTTAAACTGGGCTTACTTAAGTTACTTCCATTCTAACTAGCTCATAGATAAAACAAATGAAATAATTTTTTTTTTTTAATCTAAACATTTTAACATAATAAAATTGCGTACAAATTCACTAATATGATTTTCATCCTAATTCTCAGGCATCTTATTGAATTTATGTAATACACTGTGAATTATTGTGATAAAGCAATTGCAAATAATAGTATACAAGGATAAAATATTATTTTATGATTTGTTAGCAAAATGTTGACCATTTTTAAAGATTCAAAATAAAAAAAAATAAAAAATCTATACTAAATGGAGCATAACTGAAAGATTTGTAGTACTAGCAGTCCTTGAAAAGGAAAATGGACTAAACCACAATTACTGATAAGAGTGTATTGTATTTTGGAATGTTTATTGCTACAATTAATGTATTTAATTAGATTCCATAAAATGTTTGTTTTTGTTTTGTTTTTTTATAAAGGCCATCTGAATAGTTATTAAGAAATGAATTGTTAACAGAATCTTTAGCTTGCCTAAAACTAAAATTGTTCCCACGCATATTTTAACTATGTTATTTACTATTAATTTAAAAAAGACTGTGAAATAAATAAATAAACCAATTGTCTTGTTATAGCTTTTCACCCTAATTATTAATCTATAGAATTATTATAGTTCACTGAAAAAGAGAGAAAACGTAACAAGGAATCAATCGTTAACAGAAATTGAGGTTCAGACAGGTATTTAATTAACAAAAACTTTTAAAAAATTCTTAAAACATGTTTTTAATATTAACTTCACTTTGACTTTGTTTAGAATTAAATATAGCAATGTAAGAGCGAGATAATAAACAAAAATTGATAAAAGAAATTTCTACTTGTAAAAAACATTTTAGAAGTACATACGAATGAGTAAAGAATGCAAAAGAGTGGGGGATTAGCAAGAAAATATTCTCCCACTACCCACCCGCAAACTTATCTAGATGGAGTCTACCTATATTGCTCCTTAAGTCTCAGCCCGGTACTATTCTTATGACCTTGGAGTAATCAAATTCAATCAATCGACAAATAAATAAACATAGGATTTTTTAAAATTATTATTATACAAGGACAAGTATCTAAGTCTGGTAGTAATAAAAAAAAAAGTTAACATCAGTTGTGTATTAATTAAACCAAACACTGACCATTAGCATGCTGTGACAAAAAATAGACTTGTCTGGTTTTAGAATACCTTGCCTCAAATTAAATATCTACTTCCACACTTAAAACGAAATATTTGAATTAATTATAAGTGAAAGAGGTGGTCCATGGTGGCAGACATAGAATAAAATTTAGATTGTATACCCGAGACCATCTCTTTCCTTAATAAACTACAGTCAACTATTGAGTATTCCATGCAATAGAATTATTTTAAAAACATACCTAAACCTGTATAAGGGGCTAGACTGTGAATATAGATCACCAGTCACACATGACCAAATGTTCAGAATATTGTCATTACCTCCACTGGCCAAATACCGTCCATCTGGAGACCATTTTAAACCACATATCTAAAAGAAATTATTGTATAATTGGATTACAACAGAGTATAAATGTCCCAATAGTTTAGTAGATAAATATCAATATACAAACGTTTTCCATAATTATTATTATTCCAAAGTAAATGGAACAATTGGGATGGTTTTTAGATAGTATTTGGTATATAATGTACAATGTTAGTGCTAAACATTGTATGTATCAATTTTACATGTTTATTCTGTTTGCACTAATGGTGAAATTTCGTAGCCAGCAACTGTTAACTATAAGTAGTCTACTAAATAAGAAAATCGCAGAGGAAAATAAAATATCAAACTATACTCAGAGAAATAATCAGCTCTTCTGCAAAAATTTTAACAAACGACCTTTTACAATAACAGTAGCGATATATAGCTCAATAAAAATATAAGTATACAATGAGAATTTTTGACTTGTTATTAGCAATTACTTTAGAAAAGTGTATATTTATTGTTCTTTTAGGAACCATCCTCAAAAAGATATAAAAAGAAATTATTAGACTCACTGCAATGCTCAGCATTTCCTGAACATTGATTTCGTCCAGTTTGAAAAAATAAAATTTGTCATTATAATAAAAACTTGAAAAGTACTTTTAACTGTAAAAAAAAAAAAAAAAAGATGTATTATGATTTGATACATACTTCTTGAGAATGAGCTTCTATAGAAGATACAACGTGATCTCGCTGCCTTACATCATGGTGAACAAGAAGCCCACCACGACAACCACTGCTCAAAATATGTTGGTTCCAAGAGAGTGAGCCGACCCTCGCACTATGGCCATCCATCACTCTCATCTTTTTAGCCTGCGTAGTATCCCAAATCTGCAGGGAGAAAAAGAAAGAAATAGTGATTGAAACTCAATGATTAGAAGCATAAAAAAAAAAAAAAAAAATCTAGTTTGAAGTTTGATGTTATAAAAATAATAAATAATGTTTTTTTTTTTAATATTTTAACAAAGCATCAATCTAAAATTATAGTTTGTCTATAAGCAATAAAAATAAAAAATTAACTAAAATCATTATTGGTCAAGTTAGGATCATGTGATGGGTTATAGTTAAATTTCCTACAGCTCTACTATACAGGATTGTTCTGAGAATATAGTGGATCCCTAGTAACTCTGAACTAAAGTTGAGAAAACATATTTAAAGTTCTATTGAAAATTAATCAAAAGGTTTAGAGAATCATGAGTCTTAGAAACAATAAAGCCGTTTTCTGAAATCATCATTTTTTTTTTTAAGCAGTAGTTACAGTTACCTTACTTCAAGTAGCAGAGGAAGTAAAAAAATTAGACAATAAGGCATCATTAAACTGTTATAATATTTTAAATTATCCAGGTTGTATATCATCTCAATTTGTATTCATTATCTCGTTTACAGAGGAACGTTTGATGTCCAGCACCATATTCGTCCCTTCAATCCTCACTACTTTTTATAACATTCTATATTTTGAACTATGTTTTTTGTCTAGTTTAAATTCTTCTTAATATCATGAGAATTGCAACACCTGCTTACTGAACACTATTGTACTAAATTAGGACTATTTTTGAGCCAGAGGAAAAAATACCTGAGTACTTCCTAAGCTGGTGCCAATGGCCAAGGTGTCACCATCGGTTATCCAAGAAAGTGAAGAGACGTAGTCATTGCCCTCAAGTTCTGTAAGCTGTGAGATAGCACCACTGCTTGCATTCCATAGGTATACTGAGCTTCCTAGTGCAACAGCTAACAAATTGCTTTTGCTCCAGTCAACAAGGTTTAAATCTAGAATACATTTGCTCTGAATTAATGAAAAAATATCTATTCATAATTATTAAAACCCAAAACTTACTAAAGTTAGTTTTCTTATAGTACAAAACAATAATGAAAAGTTAATTTTGTGGATAAACATTACATGTAAAAAAAAAACTGCATATTTTGCAATCATAAGTAATCTGAACACTCTATTGATCCCAGCTGAACAAATCTGAATGGAGGAAAAGTGGAATTTTCATTTTAGTGAAAGAAAGGTAAAAGAGGTATGGAGAACCAGAGACAATGTCCTAATTCAAGACTCTCTCCTACCAAGCCGAATATTCGGTTTTTTTTTTTTTTTTTTTTTTGTCACATGTAAGCACACTCTTTATCATGGTTATTTCCTGAAAATCATTCACATTTTATAAAAACAAATCACAATAAAGCATGAAGGTGTTCTTATTTGTAAATATGTAGCTAGGTTTTGTAAACATATCTCGATGGGTAACAAGGCTGCTGCAAATACTACAATAGATATGGTTGGCTTTAGCAATTCTATTTGCTATTTCCCAACATATTTTGCCTTGTCTATTCATGTTGGTGAGAAACTCAGTGTTACAGTCCATCCCCACTGTCTCATCTTCGTAACAGGAATAGATCATTTTACTCCTAGAGGCATTGATGATCATCCCTTTGGAATAATTACTTTGGATTACTAACAGGTATATTACTTAAATCTTTCATTCAACTTCATAACTGAGATCTTAATACATAGCTCCAAGTTTATGAAAAAAAAAATCAATAAAAATTGTTGTGACGTCACATGGGGATCTATTATATTTTGATATCTTGTTTTATCTTTGTTTGACAAGTATATCTCTTTGTATTACCTTTCTTATGGTTAATAAAAGTTGTTGTTTGAACTGGTTTGAAGAGCACATAGTCTTTTTTTATTCTCCAATCTCAAACCTTCGTCTCATATTAGTTGGAGTCACAACAAAAATTATAATAATAAATTTAATTATCATGGTACCATAAAAAAGTGTCATTTTAATGCATTTGCTTATTTTTGTACCAATGATTAAGATACTAATTACAATTCATGTAAATGGAGCTAATACTTAAACTCCACAAAAAATTTAAATAGTGACTTTTTGCAATACACTGATGCTATTTTTTAAGGGGTGATTTCAAATTAGAATCATTTAAAATAATAGTTTAATTACTTACAATAGTCATCAAGAATATCAGGAGCATCGAGTATCCGGTCAGGTGCTTGGGGAATATACCTAGTCAAAGCATTTTTTGGTGTTTTAGACTGAGAGTACACTATTTTCAATGGGTTTTGGTGCCCACCAGGAGGTTCGGGTGCTTTTTTTTGAAAAGCCAAAATTCTTGCTCCAGCTAAGTCTCTACCAGCCAAATTTTCAGTCATGGCACGCTCCATCTCTACCTGAGATGGAGATTTAGCTTCGTCATCCTTTTTACCATCATCATTCAGCTATAATTAACAATAATAACATTCTATAATTATTTAAAAAAGTGATTAAATATAATGCAACATAAGAATATACAGACAATTAGCATGCTCTTTTTTTTTTTTTTTTTTTTTTTTTAATGATTTACTGTGGCTACTTTACACAAACAAGTAGGAACAATTCACATATAAACACGTCGGCAAAGTTCAGGCCATGTATTGTTGAACTATAATCATTTACTATGAATATTATATGATGATGATAAAACTCCTTTTCATTACCAGATGACACATAATATAGAGAAACCTTATTACAAACTATAAAGTATGTCATAAAAATAAATTGTATCATACTCCATACTTCAATAAAATGGCAAATGAAAAAGTAATGGACCGAAGTGAACTAAGAAATTCAAATGTAATTATATTAATAAAATAAAATTGCAATATTATTAAATATTGCATAAGGAAAAGAGAGAAAATAAAAACAAGCCTAAACACCATAAACTCTATGATATGATATTAAACAATTTTTTATTTTTAATTCTTCAATTACACAAATAAAATAATGCAAACACACAGAAAAATAAATTGAAATATGCAGTTCCAGAACTGGAGGTCCCTAATATTTACATTTAAAGTAAATATAACACAAAAATAGTTATATTTATTAAAAAAATTTAATTTCTAAAAATACACACTTGAGGGCACAATACAATATAAAATACTTAGATAAGCTAGGCCAAAATATAAATAAGAAATTTTAAGAGAGTTTAAAAGGAGTAAAAAAATAAATAAATAAATAAACCTTAAAATGTCCGAGTTCAAAGTCCGTAGCAGATCTAGTAGGAATGAATCTATCCCCACCAGGGGTTTTTCCTTTACCAGGTGTTTTAGAATCTATAAAGATAAAAAAACCAATAAAAAAATAAACTTAGATAGTATTTAAAAAAAAAAATTTAAGACAATTATTAACCTGGAGAAGTCTTTGGTGTTTTAGAAGGAGTCTTACAGGGTGTTTTCCTATTATCCATCTTCTTAGGTGTCTTAGAGGCATAGTTGCCTTTGATTTTGGATGTATCAAGACTTGAATTGATAATACTGTTATTGCTAAAACAATATACAGTACTTAATACACAGAATTACAACAGTCATACAAAACTATATAATAATACTACAATTACCTTCCATCAACTTTTTTTTGCCACCTAGGTACTGGTCCCCTTATAGGGTCATCCATTCTTAAAACATTATTCAGTTCATTAACAAATGTAAATTGTGCCATACTATAGGTAATTGGGTCCCACTTCTAAAACAGTATAGAAATCCAGTTAACATTTACACTAAAACTATGACCATCACCATAATAAACAAAATTAATACAAATTTAAACCGGAAGAATACTCTAAAGCTCAATAATAAAGTAAACGTACCAATTTTAAACTAAAAACAAGGATGTCATCAGAAACTAAGCTTTTAAAAAATATAAAATAATACTCAATGACTTTAATCTCAGGTAATACCAACGGTCACTTGAGACAAACACATTCAAAAGTGAACTGTGGTGCAGTAATAGCACAGCTGTACGCTCAAAATATACAAGGAAAAAAATGTTTTTAATCGGCTATAAAAATACTATGTTTTTAGTTTGAAATAAACAATAATCTTTAAATAATAGTTTTAAATACTTAAGACTACATTTTGCTCAAAACTCATTTAAAATAAAATTCGAAATTTGACATTTATAGGCAGCAGTGTTTTCTTTACTCATTTTTCTCGTAGTCCTTCGCTATCTCTCGAGATTTGTAGTATTTCTGTTTCATCTACTAATTGCAAGAAATGAATGTTTCAAGGAGTCTTGTTTCCAGGCTCAATCCTGTTCTTAAAAATAATTTAGCTCCGATCCAAAGAAGGACCCTGGTTTCTGGACCTCCTTCGGTTAGAATTTCAGTAGCGGTGAGTTTTTATTTAAAATAAGTTAATTGGTTAATTAGTGATTTATTTTAATTATATTTTTTATGAAACGCTCATATGTTTCTCCGTAATTTTTTTTAGCTCATATTGACTTCTATTCCTTTTCATGATAAGATAATACTGGATGTGTCATTTCATCCTGTTTACTGACTACATTCAATTTCTCACATTCCTTATTCTCCTATTAATTCTGAAGCTAGTAATGTCTCTACTTGGTCTTTGTTTTTTTGTTCTTTGATACTTTTGTTTTGAATTGATAACTAGAAAGGTTATAACTTCTAAACCTATTTATTTTTCACCTTCTTCCAAGATTATTGATTAGTGGCTATCATGGTTATCTTTTATATAAGATATATCATCAGTTTATTGTAAAATGTCATTAAATGACATTTTATAACCTTAAATCACTTAAAATTTTTCCTTTGTGAAATCGTAACATGTCACCCTTGTAACTATATTCAATATGTCAAAGGGTTTGTTGTCATTTAAGTGCACTTACTGTTTGTTTTATTGATATAAAAGGTCAAAAATATTTTATAAGTTAAAGTTAAATTTTGAATGATTTTTTTTATAACTAAATACACGAACATGCTTATATTATATTTATTATTAATCAGAAAACTGTCTGTTTATATGTTTTATTTTTCTCTTCAGCTATCTTTTCTCTTAAAGCAATCATTTTATTATTTTGCAGTTCGTTTTTTCACTTATTCTTCAAACTTTTTTCTGTTATTGTGTGATGAATTTGATGATCATTCCAAGGTTTTTTAATCCTAAGTTAATGGCCATTTATACTTTCGTTATAATATCCAGATTTTTACAATCTTTAAAATATTAGACTAATTAATCTTCAGATTAGGCTAACCACTTATCTTAATACTTTCCAAGAACTTAAGTTGGAACACTCTGAGAGGTCAAATATTCTTTATGTTTTATAAGAGCTCTACATATCTGAAAAGAAATGCAAAGAAGAGCTTTGCAACAATTTTATTTGATTGTAATCAACAAGTTTAAAAATATTAATTATTATTATTACTTTGGGTAATGCTTAATGGTAATGGATTTTATTTATATATGAATATAATAAACACACTCTTTTATTTATATATATATAAATATATAAAAACACTAAGTCTGGAAAAATTTTTGAGAATAGAGCGAAGAATTCTAAGAAGGATTTACGGCCCCAAAAAGACAAAAGAAGGATACAGGCTAAGATCCAATCAGGAAATATACAAGGACACAAGAGATCTAGAAATGGAAATAAGGATCGGGAGAATGGAATTCCACTAACATATGGTAAGAATGATCCCAGAAAGACTTAACAGGGAAATATTCCAAAAAATCAGTAGATACAAAAGCTTGGGAGGATACATCAGGCAGATGAAGGAAGAAACAGAAAGACTTGGAATAACGGACCAGGACTGTCTGGACAGAGAGGCGTATGGTAAGAGACTAAAGGAGAATCACGGTTCTTGTTAAGAAGAAAAGTTTGAGAAAGGGAGTCGCGTGGACGGAGGAGAGAAAGCGGCGGCACGCGGAGATAATGAGAGAGAAGTGGAAAGAAAGGAAAAACAAGAAAGAAGCCAAATGTCATGATATTCACGTGGTCTCTATGGCCGTTCCGTGAAAAAAAAAACACACACTATCATCAGGATACTTCATTCACATCCCCTGTCAGCATAAGGGATTGTTAGCCAAATCACTCTCAAAATCAGGATACAAGGATCTGTAATCTAATGATTATAAAGGTATCGGAATTATTGGCAGATTAATGTTCAAGTGGCCATAGCTTATAATAATAAATTGTTGTGTCTTGGTCTATGTTAAGAACTATCTCTGCAGTTGACTATATTTAAGTTAAAATCAACATCATATGATCGGTTTATTACGAAGCGTCATCAAATTACATTAAAAATAAATAAATAAGTCACTATATAATTTGATCAATGTTCTCTTTGTGAAATCGAGACATTGTTCTTTTAGTGAAACTGTTTTGTTACATGTAATAGGGTTTGTGTTATCTTGATTAACTTAATGAGCTCTTAATAACAGATAAGGATAAATATTTACTTTGTATTTATCCTTCTAATGACTTTTCTAATGACTAAGTTCTAATGACTTTACAATGAACCTACTATGTGTATTACTGATGCAAATCGTAATATAACTTAATCTTGTCTATGAGAGAATAGATCTTATAGTTGTTTCATGTTGTTCAATCTTTACTTAAATAATATTTATTTATATGTTCTTTCTCTACTTATACTTCATTATTATTTATTTTATGCTGTAATAAAGATATATATTATTAAATATTTCTTCTTTTTTAATTGTTACAGGAGAAAATAGTTCACATGGGCATTATGATCGGTGGATTCCTTGCTGTTCCACTGTATGTTCTATCTAATGTCAGAAGGTACAGGGAGAAATCATAAATTCCAGTTTATATTTGAGAATTATTATAGTTTCTGTTAATTGTGATAGCTGAAATGATACATAAATGAATTTCATTAAATAATATTAAACAACTTTGTTTTGTTGTAATTAAACAATTTGCTTTATTATCCAGTTTTTTTTTTTGTTTTTCCTTCTTCCTATAGTAAAACCAACTATCATTATATTTTGAATATTAACAGTATGACATGATTAATCAAAACACTCTAAGGTTAATAAAGATGCTGTCTATGTTGGGTTGAGGATCCCAATGCACACAGTTCAGATTCAGTTTCCTGCTGAATAAGCTAATATTTATGAATTATGTGGTTGATGTTGAGTCATTTTTTTCTAAGTTGTAATGAGAAACGTGTTCTGACATGCAGCTGATTTTATTAGAAATTTATCATCAGTCAGTCAAATCGATCATAGGTTTAGATACCAAAGTAACAGTAAACAAATATGTCTTCCAAAATCAGTTAATAGATATGTTATTTTAGTAGGGATTTCACCTTATGATAATCTAATACAAAAACTGTTAAAGAAAATAATCATAATGGACTTGACTGGTTCTGGAATTCTACACACCAATTATTGATTATTATAACAGTTGGTTAAAAGTTAGTGAATGTAACAAAATTATAATAATCTCAAAACAAAATATAACGCTAGATTCGTCTGTTTTATTCGCTATCTAAATCTCAAGATCATTGGCGGTTGAAAGTAAAGTACATTTAATATTTCATCCCATTATGTTGGTTAATTCTTTTACCACCAACCTATCTTTTATATTCTTGATCAATATTCAAGTAATCCTTAATATACCAAATTGAATTTGTATTTATCAAAAATATTTACATGTACTAAGTTCAAGACTTAATTACTTAAATGTTTCAAAGAAGTTGATATGATATATTTATGCATTACAAATGAACAATACATACTTCACACTAGACACGATATATTTCTTTTAAAATAATGCTCACGTCTACAAAATGTTATTGGGGCAAATGAAGAAAGTGCTTAAAAAAGGAGTGACAAATCATAGCATTTGATTAAAAAATATGAAATATGTCTCAAACCAATCTCCAAATATGCAATAATCCTGTTGAAAAGGGTGCCTACAAAATTTTCTGAACTAAAAATGAAATTAGATATAGGATTAAAGACTAAATAAAAAAAACCTATAGCACTGCAACACATGAAGGATCTTGGGTTCACCACTCAGTAAGGATGTACTGTATCGTGGTCATAGTTGTGCAAGATGATTTATCCGAGAACTCAACCACCACGATTTCTTCCCCCCCTTAATCATGTATTCTTATTTTTTAAGGATACCTACTTTATAGAGGCCCAAAGGGGGTTTCCCGACCCTAGAGTCGAGCCTGACAGACGAAACAGAATAAATAGTTTATCTGCCATCAGCTGGATTCGAACTTAAAACCTTAAGCATTGAAAGTCAGTGCCCTGCAACTGAGCTACCCCACTCTCCAAAGATTAGATAACTTTTTTTTCATAAATCAAAGCAATGAAAAAAAAATCTGGTGTGTCCACTTTTCTACCTATTTCAGAAAAGTTTTTGTATCTTTATTTATTCACCCCTTTCTGACACCAGGATATGATGACCAGGTAATCTTACATTGGAAATTGAATAGCTGTAACTTCGTTAATAGTTGTCCAAAATGAACGATTTTTATATAGTTTTGTAGGGAATTTCATTACCGTTCAAAAAAACAGGCTTTCAAGAAGCAACAAAATCTGTTCCTGAGAAAATCTTGGCACAGACAGACCAACGGCGAAAAATGTGTTTTCGGACTCGTTGGGGGGCTCTGAAACGTATAGATCTGTCGAAAACCGCATATTGGAAATTTTACTCGATTGCAATACTTTCCTTACCTATTACAGGTAGGAAAGTAATAAGTTAAAACATGTGTAAAAAATAGAATAAGCTGTATCATCGCTAATACTGGTTTGTTCCCGATGATTGTTTTTTGTTTTGTTGGTATTTTAATTACCTTCCAAAATTATAAATTTTAGCATATAATATATACTTTGGGAGTTAGGCCCTAGCCTATAACATATATGTTAGTATATGTATAACCCTAGCAGATAACATTTTTCTTTTCTTTATAACTTTTTTTCCTGAATTTTATCAGGAATTTAGTTCATATACGAAAATTGAAAGGACAATTATTAGAACATTATAGGAAAGTTTCATCAAAATCGTTAGAGCCGTTTTCGCGCTACAGTCTATAGAAAAACATGTTTTTCATTTATTGCGCATGGAGCACCGAATTTCTGTCACAGGCATCAGTAGTCAAAAGCCTACAAAATAAAAAAAGAAAAAATGTGAAAAACATGTTTTTCATTGCGCATGGAGTACCGAATTTCTGTCACAGGCATCAGTAGTCAAAAGCCTACAAAATAAAAAAAGAAGCAACAAAATCGGTTCAGTAGTTCCCGAGAAAATCTTGGCACAGACAGACCAATGGCTAAAAATGTGTTTTTCGGACTATGGGGGTTCTGACACATGTAGATCCATCGAAAACTGCATATCGGAAATTTGACCCGATTGCAATACTTTCCTTACCTAGTATAGGTAGGAAAGTAATAAGAATTAAAACAATATACAACACTTTTAAAAGTAATAAGAATTAAAAACAATATAAAACACTTTTAAAAATCTAAAGCATCAAAGTTATATAGACTTCCTGTTATTAACAAATAAAAACAACAATAGGCGATTGTATATAAAAAGGTTAATTAATCGACAATAATAAAAAAATAAATAGTTCTAATAAATGAATTTCAATTATTCTCTAAAAAAATTTAATCTTCAATCCTTTGAAATATTTTACTTTCTACTTCAGCATACCTGTCTGATAGCAAATGTAAATCTACTCAAAATTATTTGCTTGTTTCCAATAGAAACTTTTGAATAATAGATGCTGAAAACTATTTTCAATGAATTTTAAAGAGATTTTCATCTTTAGAATTATATTATATTATATTTATAATTATAATATTTCAATTTTTAAGAAAATAGTGCAAATATAATAATAAATAGTATAGCTTGTAAAAGAAGCAAACTATTGAAAATAAATGTAATGCTCAAAAGAGGTAATAAGCCAGGTTTTTTTTATTTTGTTGATTCAACATGAATCTACAATTTTAGAATATAATTTCATCTCAAATATTAATTAACTATTTCCAATTTTTTTTATTTATTTAGTTCAAGTAATTCAAATATGGATTTATCACCATATATGCAATATAAATATTTGATCAACAATTTAAAAATTTCATGCAATAAAATATACAATTGCATAAAAATCCAGGCTCTGATTATTAAATACAGCACATAATGAAAATTTAAAAAATTGTATAATAATTGCTTGCTTAACTAATTTAATTTTTGCATATCATATAATCTTGAATTCTTAGAGGTATTAGGTTTTTAATAAACAAAATGTATAAATATTATATGTACAAATATTTTTATCAATGTAATATTTTAAAAAATTTTATCACTAGAATTATAATACAAATTTATCTTTTTGAAGTATATAAAATACCCTAATTAATTATAAATACTATGAAAAATAATTTTATTGATGTTACTCTAAAGAAAAAAATAAGTCTCTAAAATAAAATTAAAAAAAAAAAATTAAATTGTGTGCCTTTAGCTAGTGGTATTAGTACAAATCTAAATCTGTCTCCTTGGCTCACCTCACCCCTTCAGATCCAAGTTTAGCCAGACATGAGGGAGATTGTACACCTACAGGCAGGTCAATGTGGCAATCAAATAGGATCGAAGGTTTGATAATAATCATTTTAAACAAATTATTTTATTGGTTCAACAAATATATCTTAAGAAACTTGGAAATAAATTTTTTGCATCGGTTCAGAAACCTTAAATCATTCATTTATTAAACAAAACTTGACTGTTGTTGCTTGGCCAATGAGAATAAAGATATTATAAATAATCTTCATGAAAAGGCTAATTAAAAATTTTGATTGCTAATAAACATGTTTTAATTTATTGGAAACATTTAAAGTAATAATATTTTTATTTCATACCATTAGGTAATGTAATGTAATAAGTCACATTATAAAATATAATAATTTTCTTGAATATTATGGTCTTGTTTAATGGATACTTTTATAGTTATATAAGAAGTATATATATTTCTTAATATTTCCATCATTTATTATATAGTTGATATTGTTATGGGAAGCAAAATAAAAATGAAAAAGAGATAATTTTATTTTCTATATTTAACTATCTCAGTAACGCAATAAGTTATATATTTAAAAGAACAAATATAATTACTATCAAATGAGTGCAAATATTTCTGCATTAGAAATATATATTCAGAAATAGTGAGAACTTAAATCTAGTTATTTAAACTAAAAAAATCTACCAAGAAATGTAAGTAAAGTAATACAAAATTCCTTCGAATTCTGTAAATAAAAATTGTGATATTCAGTTATTCATAAACTTAATACAGTTGACTACACATATAAAATGTTTTTTTTATATCTAGACGGATTTGTAAATAATCCATATAACCAATTTCCTTTTATCCAGCCAATCAATAAGGCAATACTTATTGTAGTAAAAAATTGAACAATACTAAATACATAATTTAATGTTAAATTAATTATAAAGTCAGCCCTCGAAAATATTAACTAAACAACAACAAAAAAATCATGAACTAACACAATTCACAATTTGACATGAAAGGTGTTTGTACACAAATTTAAACTCAATAACAAGGAAACAAATCCTTAATTTATTTATGTTCATTTAATAGAAAGAAAAAAAACAGTTCAAGATATTGCATGCAAAAACCTTATAACATCATAAAAAGCATGTATGTTAAATAAGATATTGTTCTCAATATGAGGAAGAACTGTACACAAAATCGTTAAGTAATACTATCTCATAAGGATGAATACTTATGAATCATATTTAAATTTTATTACACTATTTTTTTCCTTAATATTTTAATCTAGTAATTTATTTTTTCATTTAAAAATTTATTTGGTAGCCATTTTTCTTTGTTTTATTTGTTTGGTAGTATTAATATTTTTTAATAGAGGAATTTAACTTTATATAAACCATAGAATTATTGAAGGAAGCTAGTCGACTGTTCTACATATCATGGGTGATAAATATTCAGGCCGCAGTATTTAAAAAAAAAAAATTAATTTTTTATTTGTGCCAACGTTTCAACCCAAACATGTGGGTCATCTTCAGGGCATGGTTTGAGCACTGAGGGTGTTCAAGTACATGGTACTATATAAACCATAGTTCAAGTCTTAATATTATAAATGGTAGAGATAAAATTTGAATTTCCTTCATTAATGTTGGTATTGTATGATATTATTGATAGAATAAGACAAAGTTTATTATGATTTTTTTTTATAATAAATTTTATGTCTATTCCTTAAAATAATTATTAATTATTGTATAATAATTAGTTTATTAATTATAAAAAATTATTTTCTTAGTTTTGGGAGATCATATCAGATGAACACGGAATTGATCCGACAGGAATATACCATGGGGATAAGTCTTTACAACTGGAAAGAATAGATGTGTATTACAATGAGGCATCAAGTAAGTTAGAATGATTTTTTTTTTTTTTTTTTTAAAACCAATGTGAACTAATTGAGGATCACCCTGTTATCCAAACACAGGTATTCAAAATCTATAACAATATAAAAATATACTTTTCTGTTCTCCCTTGTACTTATGTTTTGAATCGATTTTTAGCAAGATGTTATTCATTTCCTCATTCAGCCTAATTGTAGTGTTTTTGCTTCATCCATTTCAATTTGCAAATAGCTGAATTATGTAGGAAATGTGACTGTTTCTTCTCTGTGATCATCAGTTGATAATATTTATTTGGAGTATGTTTTAGTGTGATAACAAAAATATATACAAAAAATTTTCACCTTGATTAAAATATTTTTAGTTATCTTAACATGAAAGTAACAAAACAGTGTAAATTATTATTTTTATTTTGTTTCTAATTATTTTTTAGATTCAAAATTTGGATGATTGAATAAATAAAACATAATGTTCATAATTCCAAGATTATTTGACCTTTTATTTTAATCATCTAGATTAAAATTATGTCAATGTTGCTACATATTATTTTCTCAACTTCTTAACAAACCTTATGGTTGATTAAGAGAAATAAACTTAGTTTAATCTGAATTCTTTTTTTTTTAAGAATTATTGAATTATATTCTTCTATTCATCATTTACTAGAAAAAAATCTCGATTATGTCTAGTAAATAAACAGCTGAGTTATTTTTTTACAATAGGCTATGTTTGAGAATCGATGTCTGATAATAAATTTTAAAATAAATAAGGTACTGTCAAGGGTACCAAATGAAAAGGCAGTTTGTTTTGTTCTCGCTTTTTAGGCTATACAGGATTTTCCCGGGTCAGGGGGTGAGGGCGTAGACTTATTCCAGAGTTAAAAGCTCCCCTTTGCACCGGGAAGTAATTATTTTTTTTCATCTTCTATTATTTTTTCTAATTCTTATCCTAAAAACTTCTAAATTTTTGTATGTTTACAGAGGGAAACCTTGTTTTCATATAATTGAGAACCTCTACAGTAGGTATTTAAATTATTATGTTATTTTTTTGGGGCATTAAGATTTTAGATAAAATCCTATTGTGTCAGAAATTTATATTTATTTAAATATTAAAGCTGTAATTTAGTTTTTTAAATGAATTTTCTAATTAGACTATATTCTTCTTGGTCTTGCTCTTTTATTGTATTAAGAATATCGAGTGCTGATTATTGTGTTCTAAATATTTGTTTAGACACCATAAGTATTTGGAGTACATACTTAAGTTGGCAACAAAAATTTATGTGATACATTCATTTATGATATATATGTGATTACACATCTGAGTGTTATTAATAAAATAGAAAAAAAAAAGTGGATAAAATTTGGATTCAAATCAGAAAAAAAAGTAGAAGATACACAAACACTCCATTTAATACATTAAATAAATATTTTAAAAATTAATAATAGTAATTTAAACTATATTATTAATGTTTGGTTTAGATGGGAAGTACGTGCCTAGGGCTGTACTTGTCGATTTGGAACCTGGAACAATGGACTCTGTACGATCTGGACCTTTTGGACTTCTTTTTCGACCTGATAATTATGTTTTTGGGCAATCTGGGGCAGGTAATTTTTCTATTTATTACCATTTCTTTTCATCAATAAGTATAAATTGAAATATTATTTTTAAAAAAATCTGTAGTTGTGAATATATTATCAACTTTCTTAAATGGCTTCTCCAACCATTTACAAAAATGTTTGTGACATATTGCATAATTTCCTATAAAGAGGAAGCCAAGGTTCTACAAGGACTATAACCCCATCAGATAATTATGATGATTTCCTATAAATCTATTGTTACCTAAAATAAGGTATCAGGAAGGTTAGTTTTTCTTGAAATATATGCACCATATGAAGGTTATAAATATTTTTCCAAAGAAGACAATAGAAATCGGATGGAGAAGGAAAAAGAAGCAAGCCTTTTTTGTTGTGGATGAAGTCTGGTAAGACGGACTTTTATTTCTTGGGAGTTGGGTAAAAAATGTTGAAGGACCAATGCTTTCTGAAATGATACCATTGACATGTTTTATAAGTTGTATTTGTACATGATTAATATAAGATACATTTTAATTATTAATAGTATTTTCAAAATTTTGAATTATTCTTTTCTTTAATTAAATGATCCCAATAAAATAATTCATCCTGAAAAAATATCTGCTTCATAACTATTTTAATTTATGCCAATGTATTATTTTATGTATAAACATAGAAATATATATTACTATAATTTTAATAGGAAGCGGGTGGGAACAGGAAGTAGGTTTAATAGGTCAGTGGGTTAGACACTGACTTCCAAGGCTGAAGATCCCTGATTTGAATCCGGCTGATGGCAGATAAAGTCGGTACTTTTAATTAATTAAGGGGGAAAACATGACAGTTGAGAGTGATCTTGGTCAAATCATCTCCTAGCACAACCGTTGATCAAGAAATGGTACTTCCCTATACAGTACTAAACCCAAGACCCGTTATGGGTTGTAGTGGTATAGGTTATTTTTTTTTTATAATTTTAATATAATATAAATTGTAACATAATTCTCTATTAAATGGAGAATTTCCATAAATAATAAATATATATTTCAGGTAATAATTGGGCCAAAGGGCATTACACTGAAGGTGCTGAACTTGTTGATGCTGTAATGGATGTGGTTAGGAGGGAATCAGAAACATGTGATTGCCTACAAGGTTTTCAACTTACCCACTCCTTAGGTGGTGGTACTGGCTCAGGAATGGGAACTTTACTTATATCTAAAATCAGAGAAGAATATCCAGACAGAATCATGAATTCTTTCAGTGTCATTCCTTCCCCAAAGGTATTCGTTTAATTGACAACTATTATTTTATTATATACTAATAGAATCAAGCAAAACCCATAAAGCCTTCTTATAAACAGTCGATAAATTATTATAATTAAGTCAATAGTATGAATTTTCATATTGATTTAAATGGATAAATGTTTAAAGAAACATAGAGAAACAAGAATACTAATAATAATAACACAATTTATCATTTTTTTAAAATGACTACTTTATATAAATATATTAAATAAATACTCTAGACATAAAATAAGTATAAAAGATAAAAATAAAATGTACACATATTTTAAAGGAAGGGCATGGTCCGGGGTGGCGGTCATAAATATGTTAAATAGTTTTGCCACTATTTAGCCTATTTATGACTAACACCCCGGACCATCTCCTTCCTTTTGATGCAATGGTCAACTATTAAATATAATACATATATTCTAGTTGTTGGTATGAAAACTAGTCCAAGCAAGTGGTTTGATTAATCATTTTTGTCAACCCCAGTTGATATTAGTTAAGTGAAGACCCATTTTATGGAAACACCAAAATTAATATATATTAATTTATCTGCTTGGGAATCAAACCAAAATTAATTCAAATAGATCATCTTGCCTCAATCTCTTATTTTTTTTTGTATACTTAGAACAAATAAATTCCATTTTAATTTTGTTGTTCTTTTATTTGTCTTCTACATAAGTAAAAACTATGGAATTTTAAAATTGAGATTCCAATTGTACTATTTTTGGAAATCTTGCACTTAACTATTGAATAGGTGTATGTTAACAAAAATTAATTGGTACTTAATTAATATTTTAGGTATCAGATACGGTGGTGGAACCATATAACGCCACCCTTTCGGTGCACCAGCTGGTGGAAAATACTGATGAAACTTTCTGCATTGACAATGAAGCATTGTATGATATATGCTTCAGGACACTTAAACTGTTATCACCAACTTACGGAGATCTAAATCATTTAGTATCAGTAAGTATATTATTAAATAATTAATTATCTTAAGTCAAATAAAATTCTTTTAAACTACAAAGTAATAATTTTGGATAATATTATATTAATAATTACATCCCCACTCTGAGATTCACGGGAAGGTGTGAGCGACCTCTGTGTCTAATAACATAGCTCATTTGGTCCTCCAGATTTGGGAGTTGGGTACAGAGCTGATAACCCTATCCCGTAAAAAACAACAACAGGATAGAGATGCATGCAAAAGATTGCCAACCATCCTGATTAAGAGGAAGTGATTTTGATCGCGTACAGTTATTATAAACCACGTGCTCCCTGGATATCATCTACATAAGAAGAGAACCAAACGATTACAGCTTATTGCCTAGAACAGCCCCAATGCTGCGAAAAGACTAATGGCGGAAGTCAAAAGAGTCAAGAGTTATTAACAAAATATATATATTAATAATTGATTATCTCAAGTCAAATAAAATTCTTATAAACTATAGGATGATAATTTTGGACAATCTTTGAATTTTAACACATTTCTTCCTCTCCCTCTCTTTGATGTTGTCATGTAGAACTAATGAAAACTATTATTATTATTATTTTTAGGTAGTGAAATTCTTAGAATATAATTTTCAATAAATTTCATTTTTCAGATAACAATGTCTGGTGTAACAACTTGCCTAAGATTTCCTGGACAATTAAATGCAGATCTAAGAAAGCTTGCCGTAAATATGGTTCCATTTCCTCGTTTACATTTCTTTATGCCAGGATTCGCACCATTGACTGCAAGGGGTGTACAGCAATATCGTGCTTTAACTGTTCCTGAGCTCACTCAACAAGTAAATTTAAACTATAACTTATAGTGCAAATTTAAATTAAAATATTTTATGCTCAATTTAATTCAATGTAATCCAACAAATGAAAGAGACTTTACTGACAAAATCAGATTGAAATGAATTACCTTAATTTTATTATATCATATGCATGTCTATTACAATAAAGTTATTCTCTCTTTGTAATAGCCATATTGCTTGGTCAATCAGACACAAATTTAGATTTAAAAAACATAAATTGAAATTCACACAATTATACTGAATGCCCAAGAGCCATAAATCAATAAATTCCCCTTTATTACTTATTAATCCCCCTGTATTACAGTTAATGAAGATTAAATGGAATTTTTCTTACACATCAAATATTATTAACAAAATTTTAAAATAATTATACTAAACTTATACATGTACATGGAAACTTAATTTCTTGTACTATCGAATACTTCCATTTTCCATTAATTTAATTTTATAAATATCACATCTGATACAAAATAAAAGTGCTATTTCTATCAAACTTTAGATGTTCGACGCAAGAAACATGATGACAGCTTGTGATCCACGTCATGGGCGTTACCTTACCGTCGCAGCTATATTTCGAGGACAAATGTCAATGAAGGAAGTTGATGAACAAATGCTGAGCATACAAAATAAAAACTCAGGGTACGTACAATATGACAATTTATTTAATCCTACATGTCATTTGGAAACAAACACTTCTATATGATCCAGAAAATTTCAATTGCTTTCAAATTCATCTAAAATTATTCTCTGTATAATACAACAAAATCATAACTTATTTAAGAGTAAAAAATAATAATTGGAGATTTGGTGTTTTTTGTTTGATTTCAAACTTTTTTATATTTAAACAAAATATTCAATATTAGGGAAAATAATTTTATATTTATAAAATATGTTAAAGTAATCAAAGAGTTCTAAGGGTTAATAAAAATACTGAGATCTTGAAAATGGGGCAAAATTATGAAATGTTTATTATGATACACATATTCAAAATAAAAAAAGTGAATTTTTTGTTTTTACTCCTCCTACCTGGCCATTTTTGGCAGACGCGGTTCTCAGCAGCAGAGAGTAATGTTCATGGGTTTTGCACATTCCACTGCCACCAATCATATTTCTATTTGTTATTGTTCTTTATTTTATACATGCTTTAAGGTATGTATTTATTTCTAGGATCAATAAATATAGTTTTCCTGTGGCACAGTCCAGTGCACAGCTGTGCACCTTCCATGGTGCGACTGTGCCTTAATATTCTGTTTTCAGTTCAGCGGCCTTCAGAATTCACCAGGACCTTCCCTCAGCAGAAGTATGGAGCCAGAACCGTTGCTAAGAGTAGCAGGTCTTCTCTACTGTTTCCAAAATCTTTGACAAGTGCACGAGGCACTTTCTGCTCCCAGCACAATACCTTATTTCATCTAGCGCCTTCCCTGACATCATACAATTCTTGCACTTTGGTGGGAAGCCACTGTTCCTAACCTGCCGGGAACTAATAAAGGGAGCTAACCCGCAATGTGGGCGGGGTGGCTGAATGGGCTAAAGCGTGTGCATTGCACCGCTGTTGCCCGGCAACCTGACATATGAATGAAAGATATAAAAATAGTCATAAGTTCGCGTCCCGGTGCCGGGGGTCTTTTAAATCCCTGCCCACACTCCCTGGCCCGGGAAAATCCCGTATAGCCTTAACGGCGAGGAAGGGAAGGACCCAAAAAAAAAAATGTTCCTAACCTGCCCCACCATTTGCATGTAACGTCTTTCTTACATATAGCTTTGGTATAACCATATTCCTGACATTTCAGGCACAGAGGAGCATCCAAGTAGTCCCTAACGCCCTATGTCCAGAAGCTACAGGACAACTTTTCCTTTTTTTCTTAATTTTTGTCTCGCCAAGGTGTATTTTATCATTTTCCGACTCATCAAGAGATGAGTTTGGGTCCTGATATTTCACCTTGCAGAGTTCTGCTTGAGGTTCAAGCTTCTCTTGGTGGGTATTTATAAAAGTGACAGGAAAAAAAATAATCCTTTCATCTTATTATATATAAATATTGTTACATTGTGTTTGTTTATTATAGTTTATTCATTCATTTCCTAAATGAAAAATGAATGAATGAAAAATAATTTGTTATGTAATGTATCGAATATGAAAATAGAAATTTTTCTTTAATCAAAATTTTCTTTGATAGAATAGGTACATGTATTAATGGTTCAACTAACACCTAGCTAATAGACATAAATAATTAATTATTATTTTATATAAGTAAATTTAATAAATCAAAATTTGAAATTGTTTTTGTATTTTCATCGCTAAATTATAACAAAATCATTTTTTTTTTTCAGATACTTTGTGGAATGGATTCCAAATAATGTTAAAGTAGCTGTTTGTGATATAGCACCAAGAGGTCTTAAAATGTCTTCAACATTCATAGGAAATACTACAGCTATTCAAGAAATATTCAAAAGAATTTCTGAACAGTTTACTGCAATGTTCAGAAGAAAGGCATTTTTACACTGGTATATTGGTGAAGGAATGGATGAAATGGAATTTACAGAAGCAGAATCAAATATGAATGATCTGGTTTCAGAATACCAACAATATCAGGTTAGATAAATTAGTAATTTAAAGTTAAAAAAATATTAACTTTATTTTGATTATTTTTTTTCAAAAATAAATAAGAAAATACAATTTTTAATAAAGAATACTTGCATTATTATATTATGTAACTATAAAATTCCATTCTAAACTTAATGTACCATAAAACAGCAGACGTTTACTCCTTGGAGAGGGTAAACATTACTCTAAAATTAAATCACTTCTTTGTTTACAACTTCCAAAAACAACATTCTGTTTCATAGTGTACTGACTTCTAATTTTATAAAGAAGCCATTCTCAGGTCTTTCACTTCATTAATTTTTGCTTTCTTTATAAAAAAAAATTATTCTAGTTTCAGAGTAATGTGTAAGTATCCCATTTTACAGTATATTAGGCTAGGGAAATAATTAATGTCTTGAAATTTTCTTTGAAAAATTAATTTCCCTTTCATTGTAAAATTTTACTTTAATTTTTAAGGTTTAATTTTGGCACTTCTTTTAACCAAAGAATTATTTGAGAAAAAAAAAAGTTCCTCCTCCATCCTATAGTCCCTATCTTACATTAAGTACAAAAGAATACTTATCTGGTGAATTACAAGTAAACAAGTATTTTTTTTTTTTTAATAATCTGAACTTTCATATTCATAGGAAGCTTCTGCTGAAGATGAAGAATTTGGAGAGGATGAAGAAATGATTCCGGATGAAGAAGAGCAACAGGAAGATGGAAACTAAAATACTGCCATTCCATGGAAATAAGTAAAATCAAGTTTAATACTTTATTTCAGGATGGAAATTTAATTTAAAATTAAAATATATTATTAAGTTAAGCACCTTTTTTACACTAACAAATAAATTACCTTATTTATTAAGTCGAATATTAGCTCAAGGGCTGCACCAATTCTTTCTTTAACTTTCTGATTTGACTCTCGATGTAGATGATTTTTTTTATATTTATTACTACCATTAATTTTACAATATTTCTAGATAAATAGCCTTTAACATTATTTTGTACATCTCATTAAATAAACTATATGCAAACCCAAACAGATTAAATTTTATTGAATGAAAAATCTAGTATTTTCCTTTTTGATTCTTTTATTAATATTGTTAGAAGATTTAAAATGATGAGTTGTTTCTTTTTATATTAGATAATGGATATAAGTCCTGGGCAACTCCACTTATTTGAGACAGCACTATTATTATCTGACTGATATAACAAACTACATGATGTAACTAGATGATTGGCCGCTGGGTGCAGTGGCATGACAAACTGGGTCAGGCTTTAATCTGCTTCACCACAATTACAATATGATTTTTGACACGATGGATCTTCAGAGTATTGCTTATAAAATCATAAAAAAGGACTCCGTTAAAAAAAAAAATGTATGTATCAGCTATTTTGATGAAAAGTTCTTTCTTTCAAATACGTTCAGCTGAGGTACAACCTTAGACATTCTTTATACCTTGTGAGGTGTATCAGTTGTTTGTTTTTTTTTGCAGTCTGAAATATTTTCATATTAAAGCTATTAAATGGCTGTCATGGTGGGTCTTCTTTTATTCCGTGTCTCTTTTGAGAATCGTTCAGAGGGAGATAACTAACTGAAAATTGTGATTCAGAAATTAATGTGGCCAAATACATTATCTCTTGTTCATTAATTTTACTTGAACTACAGTATTATATTATATATTTTTTTTATAATTTGAAGTCAAACGTGATAACACAAAAAGTAGACACTCATATTTTCCAAATTAACCAACTCAGTTGGTTTTAATGTGAAATACGATGTTTATTGTTATTGATTACTAATGCTTACATAGTGCTAGCTAATCCTATTATTTACAATTTTTATTTATATTTTATTTTGAGATTAAAATAAAAGGAATCAAATAGAGTTTGTACCTTGCACTGACAACATTTCTAGTTCTTTTCTTCACTTTAAAGTTAAAAAAGAATTATTAACAGATTGATTTCTGACTCAAAGGGAATGATTTATTCTATGGCAGATAGTGCCATATGTGAAATGTATTCTATTGCCCAAGATAGCTAGTAGAAATTGAGTCATTGGAAGATTCGTTCAAAAGTAAGGTGAATGATTAACGTTAAGCCAGCTGATTTTTCAAATTCCCTTGGATAACAGAGATTTGTGATTGTTACAAAAGAATCTGAAATATACCATCCGTTTCAAAAACAGTCAACAGAAGGCCTCATGAGTCTAGTCCAGTCTCTGGATGCCTTGTTTCAGACAGGATCTTCACTAGCTAGAAGCGCCTAACAGAGAAGCATCTCTTTTGAGAAGAAATCAGTATTTTCTGTAGCTACTTAACTATGGATATATTCAGGGGAAGTCCAGGTTTGAAGCAATCAGATATACAGGAACTTGTGTGAAAATATGAGAATTTCAGGTTAACACTAGATTTACTGACAAAATAGTCTCTTTAACTGACCAAAATAATATTATTAAATTCAATTAAATGAAGATAAAACAATTTGGTTATATATTTAAAATGATAGATGGATAATTCATCTTTAAATATTTAGTTTTGTTTATTAAATAAATCAAATTTACAGGTCAAATCTAGTGTTGACATTTCTTTTTTCGCCTTTGAGTAAATTATCTAATTTCAGAAAATTAAAACAAACAGATATCTCTAGATACTTTTTATTTCAATAAAGAGGTTAGAATTAAGAGATAACAATTTAAAATAAATATATTTAAATTCTTTAATTACAATATATAAACAAATCTATTAATAAAATTTCAGTTATTGGTAGTATTCAACATAAAGGAATTACTAAGAAAAAAAAATTAAATAAATTTCAAATCCTTTTCAATTAATAGTCAAAATAGAATAACAAGTAACAGAAAATGTAACTTTTAACTTTTTCAAATCATAATTTAATATCATGCACAAGAAAGACACTTCCTTCATTTAAATGTCTCACTGTATTTGCCAGTCACAGAATAGATAACAAGAGGTAAACCATAATACAAAATCAACCAATAAACCTAATTATTCAATAATAAGAACAAATGAGATAACACATTACTTTTTGTACAGGAGAGAAAACAAAACAAATTAATACAATAAAAAAAAAAATTCATTTTGCAATATGACCAGTCAAAAGTACATCCATTTCTAAAAACAATTGATAATTATAACAAAATCAAACACGTAAATTTCATAATTTATGAAATAAGACAGTTGTAACAAAAATATTGCTCATTTCAAATGAAACTATAGAGTCAAATAAATGCTTATAGGTATATTAATAAATAAAAACTACATAATATAAATTGGATGTGAGCAAAAACAAAATATAAATACAACTAAATTAACAAAGTATAACTAAAAAAAAAAAAAAAAACACTTCGGTTCTAAATTTTATTTTAAAAAACAATCAATTTCATAAATAACCAGAGTCAGAAACTTAACTCATATTCAGTTTAACTTAATTTAATACTTCTCTCATTTTTTAAATTCAATAAAAATTAAAATAACATAATTTTAATATTAAAATAACAACATTTTCTTCAAAGGCACTATTCTATCCCCACACAACAGAACTTAATAAAAATAAGCTATAGTTCTTCATAGGCTTTTTTTTTTCGTAGGTCCTTTATCCTCCTGGATCTGATTTCAGTCCCTGTTTTATCACTAAAAAAACTAACAATAGGAAAAGTTTAAAATAAAAAATTTAAATGAAATAATAATAAAAAGAAATTAAGTTAAAGAAATTAAATATTCTTAGTTTAAGGAAGAGTGGATAAATTAACAATAGGAAAAGTTTAAAATAAAAAGTTGAAAGGAAATAATAAAAATAAATTAAGTTAAAATAATTAAATATTCTTAGTTTAAGGAAGAGTGGATAAATGTATATATTGAATTATTTAAAAGATGCGTGAGGAGCAGTACTCTGCAATAATATCTTGAATCAGGTTGGCAGGACGTTATTCATTGATATGGAAACAGACATTCCACACCTGCAATTTTTTTTTGTGAAGAAAATAGCACTAACAACCTATATAGGTCTTATGTTTTAAAAGAGATATTTATAAACTGTAAAATAATATTAATTAAAATGTTGTGGACCTTACAAAGATGAATAAATGTTAAAACTAATTCTATATAAAATTAATAAATAGAACAATATTACTGCAAATAAGAAATTATTTAAAAATAAATAACATTAATAGAATAGATGTACCAATGTTATAATGCACAATAATGAAAGCTGTTTTTTTAAACTGAGGTATGGTTTTTGCTATAAGGTCAAGTAACTGTCAATTATATATATTTAGGATTAAATATCTCTTTAAGTTTTTAAAACAGATAATAATGTGGTTTATTCACAGAGAGTACATCAAACTTTACAATCTGTAGGAGTCAGTAAATTTCTACAAACACAAGAATAAAAAGAAGTCATACTGTAAATTCTTAAAATTTAAGATCCTTATAAGTTTATTACTGCATTAAGATTTGTCATTATTTTGTATTTGTTAATAATAATCTTCTTTCAATATGTCTTCAGTGCCGATTCAAAAAAAAAAAAAAAAAAAAAAATGAAAATTGTATAATTGTTACTGACACTTGAATTATTGCACTAATATTGGCTCTTTAATAAATTTAGACTACTATACCATTGTTTACTTTAATCCTACCTTCGAATTTTTCCTATTTACTTACATCACTTTTAATAATTACATTATAATAACCAACTTTGATTATCCTGACCAATCACACCTCATAGATTTCATTCATTCCTTAGACCTTTTTATATATATTTTTTTTCATCCCACTCACCACAACCAGTTCACGGATAGATGACGGCTTGACCTTTTTTAATAGATTCTTTTCAAAATTTAGTATAGTTCAGTAAATGAATTGCCCAGAAGGAGGTGTAGAGTTTGTGAGCAGGGACCAAAGCAATACCTTCAGAAACTTATTCAGGATGTGCTTAGGGTATGAACATATCAAAAGTCCTGATGTTCAGGTGGTGAGCTGGGGTAAGGAAAGGTGACAATTTTTCTATTTTTGCTTATATTTCGAAAACGGTGAAGCGTAGGAAAAAATTTTCATATAATAAATTAACGTTTATATATTTATATATCATTATATTAAATAAAGTAGAAACAAAAATAAAAATACATTTGTTTTTTTTAATTAACATATTTCATTTTTAATTTTTGTTTCCACTTTATTTAATAACTGGATTTAAAGTGTAGCTACACATATTATTAGACAAATGAACAAAAGTTACACCAAAACCGTTATTATAGCTCTATAAATGTAATTTATGAGTACTGAGGAAGAAGACAGTAGGCGCTTACAAAAGAACCGCTTTTTCCTGATTAAGTGCATTTTCTAAGGAACTGTTTCAAATATTTTAAAAATTAATCACTTATTAATATTCCAACTCCTAAACTCACTCCAAATCGAATATTCTGGTGTAATCTTGACTAACTGTAATTTTCTTCTTACTTCAATACCCCAGTCTCTAGAACCTGTCTATTCCTCTTTTTTCATTGATGTAATTTCCTTCCTCTAATTTCAACATATTCCTAAATCATCATACATCTCTTTAGACTTACACTTACAAATGCCTCGCTGCTCCAAGGATGAATCAAGAAATCAAAGAGTCAATGAGAAAAAGATATGCTACCAGAAGAGGTTTTAGATGCTCTGTAACATTTGATGATTACTCCATTTTCTTAATACATTGGGAAAAAAAAATAAAATAAAATTTCGCTGAATAAAGTAGCTCCAGAGTATCTGATTTTAGACCTAAACTCATTCATTCCTATCTATCAAGACCACTTGAAATACTGGTCCACTCACAGTGTAATAACTTTCTTGAGCAAAAAGCTCTGTATAAGCCTCTCCAGTCTGGTTTTAAATCAGAACATTCCACACAATCAGCTTTGTATAAAATTACTTAGGATCTTCAACCTTTCCTAGTCAAACAACTATTAATACCTATGGTTCTCTTAGATGTTTCAAAAGCCTTAGATTCAGTTAATCATGAGATCCTCCTTTCCAAACGTCAACACCTCTCCATTTCAAAGTGGTTCCATTCCATCCTTAACAGTAATCATT